AGAAGTGATCCCTATATAGATAATTTTATACATACAAACATATAAACTTTAAAATATGCACAGTAATGCCGAAGCAAGTATCTTACATTCCACTCGAGAGAAAACGATTGGTGTGCTAGAAAATTATGAGTAAAGTTTAGCAGCGTAGAAAAATATCTTAATAGTTCTAAACAATCTTTGATATGGAACTCCGCTGACTAGAACTCAACTGAAATGAAGTTTCTTGAACAGAAAGTTTATTTGCCGTAATGTTCTATATAGTTTTCTATGAAGCTTATTTTTCAACCAGTTCATCATAGCTGTGCTCTAATTTCTTTTGTGAAATCAACAAAGCATATTGTTCTCACTCAGCTCTCTTAGATTTGGCTAGATTAACTGTGTACCGAATGGGTACGATATCGAGAAAGATATGTAACAGAGTATCAATCTTCATGATTAGAAAAGAGACGGGTAAATTCATAAAGAAGCCCAGTCTTGTCACTTTCGTTGATACTGACTGCACACAGTACGTAAGACCAACTCCTTCTCGTTCATTCCTGTCATTCTACTAAACTTTCCGAATGGGGTTCAAACTCCTTTTTTTGATACAAATGAAGCTATAGGAATTTGAGGTAATAGTTTAAGTCCTTGGTAGTAGAAAATGTAATTGACACCTTTACTGTGTAAATTCCTTAAACTTTTATCATGCACTTTTTTCATTCTCTAGTATTACATAACTTTTGGTGTTTTCAAGCCCTTGACCTATTTTAATTAAAGAACAAACAAAAAAAAAACTATAGTCACAGATTATTGGGTTTCAGTTGTTTCTCTCTTATTAGCGTTCTTAACAAACTGGTTATATGTATTACTGGCAACTGTTAATGGTTATCATCATTGATATCACAGGGTCACTGCATAACTCTTGCACAATGCATGCATGCGTGCACATTTTAATCTGATTGCTTTGTTTTGTTTTGTTGAATTGTAGTGCATCAATTTAGTAGACATACGACTTAGAATCTCGGGTTCAAAGGTCCGAACCCCTGACAGATGCCAAGACTTATAATTTAAACTGGGTGATGATTGAAGATGAAGTGGAAATTTACATCGTAGCCGGATTCGAACCAGCGACCACTAGGCTACCGGCCCGGTGCTATACCAACTGAGCTACGAGATGCGACTGCTGGACCAGATTTTTATTTCACTTCAATCACCAAGGGTTTTGCCGAACTACCATATGAATTCGTGATGCATTACTATCACTTGCTGGTATTCACACTGGCTGCCTAGTCAGGACTTCTCATCCCAATCTAAATCTAACTAAATAAGAGAGAAAGAGCACGATATTGATTATCATTTGAATATGCTGAGATAGACGTCGTTTGGTTGATTAGTATTTTTACTGGGTAGTAACGTGTCACTAATCCACTCCACTTCACGTACTTACCATGTTTTGTGGTAACCTAACATTTAGGAATTCACAAACTTTTGATCCCTTCTCAGGCGATTTCTACTTTTATGTATGAGTCTATGATGGAACCATTTATGATAATAATAATAATAATAATTGGACAACAGGGGATTTATCTGCTCATTCGTGTTTCCTGTTACAAAGATACAAATTTGTCAAATCATATTGAAAGAAAGTGACTTATGAAGGACGATCTGTTCGCTTTCAGTTAAGCATGTGATCCAGCATACATGAAGAATAGCAGACTTGTTGCAGGGTTATAAAACTTAAAATCTAGATAATTAAATGTTCTGAACAAATATGATATAGAAGCTTTCTATATTTGTTTATATTTTGAGAATAAGGAATGATTCAGCGTACAATGTGTGCTTTTCCCCACCCTTTTAAGCATTTAAATTCTTATAGTTGGGAAAATCAGTTTTTTTTAAAACGAAATTTTCATCTGTGTATCATTGAGGGTTAATTACATTGCTTATCTGCCGTACATAACCATTCAAAGAATAATTATTGTTGTCTTGAAAGTAAGAATAGTATCTGATGGAAAAACTGCATGTTAGGTGGAGTGCTAGGAAATTGAAATGAGTTCATACTCATATGGTGTACGATGCGCTTATAGCCTGAGGATGTAGACCATATCATTTGTAAATTCTAGTTTAAATAAATAACCCGATAAGCAATCTAAATAGCGATGTACATAGTCATGTAAACTAGTCATTCAAGGACAACTTTTATGCGCGACTCCTATTTTGGTTGCTCAAACCTCTGTAGGTGGAGTGGGATTTAAGAATGACTTTAAAGACCACCCTAACAACAACTGGAGCAATGAGATTTATCTATTTTATTTTCGTTCCCAACCGAAATTGGTTATTTTGATCGTTGCTGGTGTGGCCTTTAAAGTCTCGCGGATTTAAACTGACCACCTACTGTTTGAAAGTCATCTGTCTAAACAAGCGAGTCATACTTCCATATTAGATTGTATGTGTTAATAAAGGACACAGTGACAGTATAGTATACTGGATAGGGTGACAATTCTAAAATCCAATATACCTAGGTGGAGAGAGAGATTGATCATAGACTCTGTTCATTGAATCCTCACCTAACACATGTAACACATATTTCAGGAACATGGAGAATTTTACTACCGTCAGAACAAACGAATGAACTTTTGGACTATACAAAGGAAGTGTGAAAGTTCTATGATTACCGTGATATGAATATGGGCAATAAATTCTCGAAACGTCATCCAATAAATTATACTGTGTCACTGTACTACACCAAATAAAAAATCTAATATGGAATTATGCTCTGTCACAATGCCCAAGTTTTTCCCTTACATTAACTGAGTCATACCTTCGCAAATAACTTGACAGCGTTCCATTCCTCCTTAATCCCACTATTTATTGCATATCTTTTTATTCTGCATTTCATTCTGTGTATAATCTTTAAAATTAAAAAGCAGTAATCAATTAACTTTTATGCAGTGAAAATTAGTTTTGTCACTTAAATCTCACTCCTAAAGATACATCCTTTGAAGGCACGTAAAATGAAACCTTTAGTACAAATTTTTATCAGCCATTTAAAATCAATATGCTACAAAGCAAAAACATTTCTACTAACATGATAACAGTGATTCTGATCACATACATGCATGTACTTGCACATACAAAGTTGGTTGACCTTGAAATTACTTCGCTTTCCATTGGTTTGTGTATGTTTAGTGTGGATGCACAGTGCGTTCTTGCCGATATTTCCGTTGGCTAATAATGCAAATAGCATTCATGGTTTCATTTATAATTACTCATAACCACTGCAAAAAGCAGAAATTTTAGCCTTAGGATTCTTTTCTTTATGAACTATGTTGATAGATTGCCTTTTGAGTGGTAATTTCAAAATTTCACGCCATATATTTCGGTCTCATTAGTCTATAACACTTGATTCAGCTTACGTACTGGGTAGTCAATGACGATCAGTGCATTATTTATCTCTTGTCATTCAACTAAAAGGTAGATTTACAACATTTACCGAAATCTTAGCCTATATTCGGCTGTAATAATCATCGATGAACTAAAAATATGACAGTTCAAGTTGATACGAAATTATGCGGATTCCTATTTTATTTGAAGGTTTCGAGAGGAATTATTTATTGATTTCATCATGGACTGATATCAGTTAGAGAAACACTGGGGAACCCGTGGGTCACTAAGCCGCTGTTTTGCCCTAGTATAAGGCTCCTCAGGAGTGCACATCCATGACCCCACTCCCCACGGATCGAACCCAGGACCTTCATTTTCCGAGGTCATCACCTTGCCACTAAGCCACTGAATTGGAACCCAGTGGTTCATGCTTGCGACAGCCCACGACATAGTGCGACCTCCATCCAATGGGTTTGCACTGCTGAAGAGTCCCATACGAGGGCGAAACAGCTATTTGGTGCTTTCAGGTTTCCAATGTTTCTCCAACTGTGATGTCAGTCCATGATGAATACCAACCTGAAATTCTTATTTTGTCAGTATCGGTCTAATCCAACCTTTTGGCTTTAAATTTCATCGATCTTATTTTCGTTGTGAGCACTGTTGCAATTTTGTTGGAACTGATTGGTTTTCTTATGACAAAAATAGATGGAAACTTAGTAGAAAGTTGTACGCAAAGAAGAATCAGTTCAGATTACCACGTCTTAAAACAATAAAAGAGGGATATTACAATGCGAATCTAGGATAAACCTTAACACTGAACAAATCGGTATATAGAGTAATGAGATTACGAGGAAGAGTGAATACATCCGTATCACCACCAGCAGTTCTAAGTTGTGCCATATAAAGTCTCCAGTTACTGATTACTCACATCTCTGTGGCTTATACCTGAAAGTTTTTAAGATTTAACTTCAATCTTCTGTTGCATTCTGACAATCATGGCTTAATCATACTTCTGCCAAGCCCTCTTTATCGTTTCCGAAAAAGAAAAGAATCAGACAGAAAACTGATAAGTTAAATACATTCGGTCTGAAATCAAGAATAGTTGAATACAGTCATTGTCTGTATGTGTGTGTTTTTCGGGGAGTTGAGGGTGACTTCCACAGAACTCTAAGACTAACTTATTCAAGACGAGCAATCCAACTTACAATCATACTTACATTTCCGTAGTTATTTTGTTATCAAGATATACAAAATATTGATACGCTTAAATCAAATTAACGCCGTGAAGAAACTATACCATCGATATATTACGCAATTGGAGTCACATGGACCAGGTGAATAGATATACAAAAACTAATAACAGGGTTTGTCCATATATAAAGAGATCCAATGAATAATATGTATATTGCGTGGTACTAGGGTTATCTTTTCTTCAGGCTGATGATTTTCTATCGAATTGATTCAAGCATGTAAACATTTTATATATTTGGATGGTAAAATTGTTTAAGGTTGTATGCAGTTGATGAGAAACGTCGAAATAAAATAAATCCTTACTATTCTACCAAAATTGATGTTCTCATTCTGTTTAGATGAATTCCTTTTTCAAGTTGCCCAATCATTTTCTTATTGAAAAAAAGGTTTATCAACTTGTCTTGTTGAAAGACTGGATTTCGCTTCGGGTACATCTTCGCGTTCAACCAAACTTATTCACGGTGGTGTTCGATATTTGCAAAAGGCTATATTCAATTTCGATATTGAACAATTTCGTATGGTTAATGAAGCACTCAGTGAACGGTCTAATTTAATTGATATAGCCCCACATTTAGCCTATCCATTACCAATTATGCTACCAATTTACAAGTATGTTTTAAATTGTATATATTGTATATACCAATGAGTTTATGACACGAGGGTTCTGTTAATTTGATGTCAACATAATGATTTTTGTAACTGACGTGAAAATGCCTTTCATCACGAATTATTGACAACTGGATGAGTATTGGGCACGCGTTCCCTTCTGCTTTCCCATTTTTAATGCTACTCATCATCACCATCCATTTTATATCTCATCAAACCTCAAATCTTCGGTTCCCAAGATGAATTTGTTATTACTTCTCGATTTTTTTTTGCAATCCAGTTTCGACATCTAGTTAATAGTGTTATCGTTATAAGATTTAAAGTTTTTGAACTCATTTCTAGTAATTGAAGACAGTGCTCACTGTTAATACGTTTGAACTCAATGAGAAAACATCCAAACCGTTTTATTTGATTTGGTTTGGTAGACTTGTATTGACATTGGATGAGGATTGAAAGTGAGAAGAAAATCTGGACCGCAGCAGGGTTTGAACTAGCGACCACCTGGTTTCCGGCTCGTTGCTCTACCAACTGGGTTATGAGACCTGACTTCAATCACAGTTATAATGATAGTATTAACTAAATCAGTTCTAATACAGACGATAATGATGATGTGAACCGTGAAAACAGCGTGTAGACACTTGGATAATCAAAGTGGACAAAAACAAAGTCTAAGTCTGTTGTTTATTATTACACAACTTTTATTTTTTAGCTTTTGAATCACTTTGATTATTTAACTGTGCACATTATCATGCTGTTTTCGTGACTCTTATCGTCATTATCATGTGTACTACAACTGCCTTAGTTAACACACTGTCGTTATGACCGTCAACGTTATTATTGTTTTATCATCATCATCATGATGATGCTAAAACTCGTATCATCGACCGACAAATCTACATAATTGGTCTCATGTAATGTATATATATATATATATATATATATATATATATATATATATATATTAGAGTAAAACCTGAAGAAGATCTAATTAAAAACTGTATTGATTTCCGGTTGGTATTCATCATGGACTGAGATCAGTTGGAGGAAACCTGAGGGCACTGGACACCTGTTTCATTCCATTAAGGGACTCCTGATCAGTGCGTACTCATGACCCAACCTGAAATCAACAAATAAATTCCTGCAAATCTTCAAATTGAATTAATCTAGTGCTCATTGGTGACTCGAGACTTCAATGAGAAGTTGTGATCGGTGGGGCCAACCAAGTCGGACATAAGAACAGTTACTCATTGAGGACATTAGATGAAGATCGGGCTACATCGTGAGCTGACACAAATATGAAATATGAACCACTCGATTTCGATCCTGTGGGTCAATGATAACGTGCGGACTGCGGGACGTGAGGGTCCTGGGTTCTATCCCTGACGGGGTGAAGTATGCACTAGTGAAGAGTCCCATACTGGGACAAAGCAGCTGTCCAGTGCTCCTAGGTTTGCGGTGTTTCTCCAAGTGATGTCAGTCCGTGATGGATACCAACCTGAAATCAATAAATAAATCCCCCACAAACCTCCGGATTGAAAACAGTATTGTTCGGTTATATGTCTTGTTCTAATTTACATGATGGGAACATTTAAAGCTCTTAAATTTATATCACACAAGAATTTTTGATGCGAAAAAATAAACTAAGTATATTTAATTCGATCTACATGCCATGTGTAGGTGGTCAATATGATATTGTTGTACTAAACTGAGTTGTTGTTAACTAATTTACACTGTTCACGATTCATGATAGAACTGAATTCTTATCTCAAAGGTTGACATTAAAGTGTGGTTTTATATAATTTGATTATAGATTAGTGGTTTTAGTCATTAGATGAACAAAGAAAATGACACAAGAAGACATCGTTACCAAAGCTTTACGACAATAACGTAGGAGTATCTTGGGCATGAAGCACACAGTTCATCATATAGGCTAAATAATAAACTTGTTGTTGTTAACCATTATATCACCTAAAGTGCCTTTCATTAACATTATCCGCATCCTATTACAACCTTTATCTGATAAACTATACTGATTTCAGCAGATAAAAGTATTTTCCTGTAGTTTTTAATCTGATATCCTGGAACTCTTCAAAGCGATAACCGGCAAACAAATCCTCATCATATACTCAGCAAATTTTCATAATAGATTTCTGTATTCAATTGACTATACTGTCGACAGCTTTTGGAACTGTTGTACGTAATACTAGAGGTTTCGTTCTGCGTATATCTGGAAAAATGCGGTAGGTTATGTGAGTAATCATCTTGGAAGTGTTATCTTAATTTGAAGGTCTGGGAATGTTGAGAGTCTAAGATTCTAAGCATTAAGCTCTATTAAAAACAATGATAACCAGCAAACTGGCAGAATAAGATTACACAATTATATTTCATTGTTTTTTCAGTAACGTGCATATTATTCCAGATAAATTATTGAAAGGAGGAATAAATTTCAGCCCACATGAAAATTAAAAGGCCGGGATAATATATTTACACGATATTTAAGTAGACAGGAGCGGAAACTTGGAATACAGTGAGGCAAAATAATTTTATCATCTTATAACAGTAATAACTGACAAATAACCTAGAGGGAAACGAAACATTTACGTAATGTATTTAAAATATCAATTTATAAGGCATTACTATGTTGAAAAAGATGAATGATTTATTGGTAACCACAGTTAAAGTTGTTATTGATGATGGACAATAGCTAGCAGTGAAGCCCTACTTGAGACTTATCAGCCGGATGTGCTTACCACTAGCCGTAATTAGTATGAACATTCAATTGCCGGCAGGGTCTAAACATCTCTCCAATGCAGCTCATGTACCAATAGTGGCCAATCAGTTAAACTGAGTCAACGGGAGGAATCTACTAACTAGGTAGGCTGTGGTATACTACTGAAATGCTGATAGAGTCAGAAACGCCAAACAACTATCTGGATCATTTGATGTTCAATGTTAGGATTCATTGTAGTGTAGTAAATGTGAGTGAAGCTTATCGAAGGAACGTCAGCCCGTTAATTTTTGAAGGTGTGGGCTTTCAGAATTTTGTATGAGGAAACCCGTTTATTCGACATAGAAATAGGGTGTCCAGATTGGATCTATGAAACTATAGAAAGCAATTAATCTAGTCTGATCCGTCATTATCACCACCTCTATTTAAATTATTTCATTTTTTACGAGACTTTAGTAAGTTAACCGCTTCCAAACTTTTAACTGGAGCTAGATTGTTTATTTGACTTGAACTCATTGTGCATAGCATTCTTAGCTTCACTAATAGACTATGCACCAATACTTGTTTTGATAATGACAAATTTTAATTATCATTATTGTAGAGTAGGAATGTTATTTTTGTGATTAGTTACGTATTTATTATTAAATCAGTTCGTCACCGATGTCTTCTGTAGGTGATTACACCAGATTGAAGTTGTTTTTTTTGGGGGGGGGGGGGGTTGCTGGCAGGTTGAAGTGTCTTTCATCAACCCTTTTCACATGTTAGTCGTATATGCATGAATCTTAATGAATTACTGCGTTTTTAATGAAGTTTGGATCCGGCATCTATTCAACAAGTGTTATAATTAACTATATTTTTCAAGTTGTTATCCATCGTAGACCGACATCTGTTGGAGGAACAAAGAAAACCTAGAAGCACTGGACAGTTGTTTCGTCCTAGTATGGGACTCCTCAGCAGTGCACACCCACGAACCCGCGACCATTGAGCCACTGGGTCAGAATCCATTGATCCATATTTCCAACCTCTGTTAGCTCACGATATAGCTCAACCGCCACCCAATGTCATCGTTGAGTAACTGTCCTCATGACCATCAGGCTTTGCCCCCACCGGTCACGACTTCTCATTGGAACTTCGGGAATACTTCTCGAAGCTAGTCACCAATTGGCACCAGTTCAATTGAATTTTGATGAAATGTAATATTTTTACTTTTAATTTTATAGATGGTGGCAACTTCCATATTACTGGGCTGGCATTAAAATGTATGACTTAATATCTGGTTCTCAAATATTGAAGGCTAGTTATTACTTGAGTAAATCACAGGCATTAGAACGGTTTCCTCTATTGAAACGTGACAAACTAGTCGGTGGATTAGTGTATTATGATGGTAAGTTGTTTTTACTTTTGTTTTTTAAAAAATCATTATTGAATAAAATTACATTGCTTTGCGGATAGGAGTAGAACCAAACACACACTTCTTCAAATACCAGAGTCCTGAATAAGGATGAAACATCCATTGTCTATTACACTGCTAGTCACAGTTGAGTTACCGATAATAGTGAGGTTCCTTCTACACATTACACTCATGACCTAACGGTGGCTAGTCAGTTCTTTCCAGTGTTTATCATAAGGAACGTTAAATGGAGTTTAAGGTGGTATGTGCCTTTTGAAATGATTTGGCAAACTAATTAATGCGAACTGACTACAGTGTTTGACATACTCTTTGTTGTAAACTTGAAAGGAATTAGTTTAGGTGAAAAATTAAGCGGTCAATCAGATAAGGAGATAGTATCTACTCATGAGTGACAGACTGACCACTAGTCATTACGTGTAGTTATAACCGACTGTTGATTGAGCTTAAAACAATGGTTGCTGTGTATTTTCCATTTACACAGTAACAAGACACTAAAGCTTAACAATTAAAATAAAAATAACAGCTGACTCATAGTTATAGGTCTTATAGGATATTCAGTGAAACTTACGACTACTTACTTTGTTGACCTGTTAGATCGAGTCCTGATTCAAGCTATTGTTCTACTTTAAAGAGCTATTTGTTAGCTGTTCAAACTTTTATATTTATTTCGATTTTTTTTAAATATTGTCTGTCATCCCTACTATGAACACTTCACATGATTAATCAGTATGTGAATAGTTCAATATAATTCTTTCTTATATAAATATATATATATATATATATATATATATATATATATATATATATATATATATATATATATATATATATATATATATGTACTTTTATCGCTATATTAAGTTTAGTGTGGTGCCATGATCACATGTCACTTAGACTACAGTCATTTAGATAACGAATAGCCCTATTGGTATCAAACCAGTCATCGTAACAATAATTAGATATAATGAGAAAAGGAAAATCAATATTCCTTACCCTCCAATTCGATCCAACAAAACAATGGAGAATAACAAGCATATTTCGAACAATCTGATCACACATTTACTTGTCAAGTCAATTTATATCTGAAAATTAAAGGTCAAATATAGTGAATATGAAAAGGTTGCGACACTAGTCTTGGTAATATAATCAGATAAGGATTACCAAGGTAAATTAGGTGAAACAACAAATTGTTTTTGTACACACAGCGGGGGGATTAAGTTTACGAATGGCTAACGATTGTTCGAAATGTATTGCGCAAATACATCACATTTTTCAGATAATCTTCGTCTTCTAATAGCGTTATCGAAATTTACTGAAGGGAATAATTGTTTCAAATAACAAGTATGTCAGTAAATAGTAATTCCTTACCCTAGTTGTAAAAGCAAACAAGTCAGATTGAATTTTTCTTTCTCTATCCTTTTTCTACCTTGAAATTATAATGAATAACAGTGTATATGCTGTATAGATGGAGTAAACAAAAGTACACTTTGCAAAGTCTTGATTGATTGAAATGATAGGTTTCACGGTTAATAGGTTTTGGAGATTAGTTTAGTCCATCGACTGTGTACTCTTTTGACAGGAAACTAGACTATGCCAGGCGACTGTTTCATCTTTGCATTGAAACTCCTCAGCAATGCAAATTTCCATCCTTTCTAACAGTTGAATGCAAAGGAATGTTTTATGACATTTGTTCCTGTCGAAGGGTTGAAACATTGGACCTTTGATACACGTATTTTGACTCCATTGAACTCCTACTTCATTATAATTGAAGTCTCTCTTCCTACGTATCACAGACTGTTATCAGTTGGAGGATCATTGAGATCGCGAGAGAACTGGGCAGCTGTTTCGTCCCAGTGTGGGATTCTTCAGCAGTGCGCACCCGCAATCCCTTTAGGGATCGAATGTAAGTCTCGCGTCGAGCACCTTGCCACCCAGTCACTAGGTCGGTATCAAGTAGTCCAGAATTTCTTACTTCTGCGATATAGCTCAACTATCATCCGATGCAATCATTGAGTATTTGTTCTCACACTCGACTGAGACGAACCCATAGGTCACAGTTTCTCATTAGGACTTCGGGAATTCTCTCTTGAAGCATGTCACTAATGGTCACTGGGACAGTAATGGGTTCAGTCCCTTGGGGGGTCGTGGGTACGCATCATTTTGGAATCCCGAACTTACAGGTTCTCAGTGCTTCTCCAGCTGATGTCGTTGTATGATGAACACCTTGAATTCAATCAGTCCCCACAAACCGCCAAACTGAATTACTGCCTCCCTATTCTCTTTTATCTTTTCATCCCATCGCACTGAGTGAGAGCAGGAGAAATGATCATATCTTACTGGAATCTTAAAATACCTACATTCCTACCTGATTCAATTATTTATGATTCAGATAATCGTCTTTCTTTAAGATTTCTTTGTTTTTCGCGTATGTATCATGACTATAATTGACTTACATGCGAAATTTTAATGGTAAACTAATAGTCACACTACATGAACCATTACATAGTAATAGCAAGTCATGTATCGCTCATATCTATCCGTCTTCTCAAGTTGACTAAGTGTAGCTCTGGCTCATTGGCTTAGACACTTGATTCCCAAATAGAGTCATAGGTTGGGACTGTACTGCATCTACCGAGGTTCAAGCACCCAGGTGGTATCTTTGGCCCTTGCACAATAAGTGTGACTCACTTCTTACTGTGAAGGTGTGACTCACTGGTTAGGGGAGACGACTATTAACTAATACGTCATGGTTCGAACCCCGCTGGATCTACTGAGGTTTGGACAGCCTGGTAATATCACTAGCCCGCTCACTATAGGTTTGGCTCATTGCCTACTGGACGTATGTATGCAAAGTTGCTAAGTGAGTTCTGTTCGTTTGTTCGTACAAATGTGCGTATGGTCGCTGAGACACTAGTTAGTGAATCAAATTCAATATCTAGCTGAACCTAATCAAAACTTGGTCATACCTGTATCCGTTACTATTGTTTATGTCATTAACTGGATAGATTCTAATAACACTCAAGTCTCTTGATTGTCTGATGCAAATATGTGTTGGTTCGCCACTGATGTGTCGCGTAATAACTAAAACATCAATCCGAGAATTTTTATATGTCAACAGACTCTAACCTCCTAATACAGTTTTTCAGCATCCATTGACTTCAGTTTTTCACCTTTTGTAGTGTTCCAGTTTCCTTTTTATTGATGGAAGCCAGATTATATGGAAATCTTTGCGATTGAAATGCGTAAAACCTGTAACTCAAACACTAAAGTTCATATTTTGAGTTTCATAGCTGGCATGATTTATTATGTCAAACATTTAGTTTCTTGTTACATAGTTATTCGATTGACCTATCAGACTGTCATAACGACTTTTTTTGGAATTTACATATAATTCACTTTGTCTTACATATTGATGTCCAACTAATTTATTATTATAGGTGAATTAATGTCAGTTAATTAAATTATCAGTCGTTCAACTTGTGGCATAGAATAAATTTATCACGTTTTTCTTCCAAGCAGTAAACACATTGGTCTAGAGTATAATAAGCCTTGACCGTATACCTTTACTCCTTTTTTTAACTGATCTATAGATAAGCTCACTCCAGTACGTAAATAGACTAATTAGTCAAGTAAGTTATTTTGTGCGACCTTTAGTCTTGTTAAATGATATCACTTGACTTATAAGAATAGTCATCGATTCTTTTCAATAAGACGCATAATTATTGAACATAGTTTTTATACTGAGTGATGATTGAAGGTGAAATGAAAATTTGAACCTTGGCCGCATTCGAACCAGAGACCACCGGGTTCCCGGGTTGGTAGACCATCGGGTTGGAATTATAGTTTTGTTCACAAAATTACACATCTGCTCCTAGTTAAGGCCGCCATTGTCGTTATTGTTATCCCGTTTACTTAGGCATCTTCCAACTGAACTAGTTAGGTGGTATATGAGTATGGTTGCGGAAGCCAGCACACGGTTACACACCAATCTCTGAAACCCATTTTGGTTAATTTATTACATGTTATCACACAGTGGAACAGTTTCATCTACTGAATTACTTTTCGGACACAATTTAATATCCACAGTCATATCAAGATAACTCCACAAGTTTCAGACATGCTTTATGTAGTTCTGATTTTCTCGCTTTCTATGTTATTTGGGTAGTAGGAGTTTCCATATATCCGGAACAGGTGCTGAGTCATTCCTGTTGCATGTATTAGATGTTGATAGGATTAACAAAGAATCAGTTATTAATCTCTCCCTCCATCCCGCTAGGTTGGTTTTCAATGGTTTTCATCCTATCCTATTGTGTGGTTATGTGTAACTGCATGCATAGGGATGGCCGAGCGTTTTTCTAAGTTTCTTCTTCTACTAGAATCTACTGATTCTGATTTAGATAGGTTTTTATGTTTGGATAGTTTTATTGACTCTAGTCGACTACTTTGACCCTGTATTCGACCTCTCAATCAATCAGTAATAATAGTAATACTAAGTCAACTAAAATGGAATTACATTCTACCTCAGTGTCCAAGTCTTACTCTATATTAATCCCTAAAATCATTTGCTTTTGGTTTTAACCATGTCAGAAATAGTGACTTTCTAGCCATGATGTAGGGTTCTCAAAGAAACTTAATGATTGAAACTGCTATACTCTAGGACTGGAAATATCTCCTTTACATATCTTGAATATATTATCATTCTATGAATACTGTTTGTCTTCTGATATCCCCCACTTTTGGTTCAACATCAACTGCATTCAATTTTCTTTTAAAGATTGATTTTTTTCTTTGCTTCAGGTCAACAAGAAGATGCTCGTATGTGTTTGAGTCTGGCTATAACAGCAGCTCGTTACAATGCTGCAATAGCTAATTATGTTGAAGCTGTTGAGCTTATTAAACAATCACCTCAAACAAAATCAATTTCTCTGAAATCAACATTAGACAATGCTCCTGAACCAATGCCTATAGTAACTGGTGCACGTGTTAAAGATCGTTTAACTGGTAAAGAGTTTACTATTAATGCTCGTTGTGTCATAAATGCTACTGGACCATTTACCGACAATATACGACATATGGATAATAAAGAACAGCCTACTATTTGTCAGCCAAGTTCGGGAGTTCACATTATTCTTCCTGGCTATTATAGGTAATTTCCTTTTGCTGATAATTTTGTTTACTACATACAAAGTGATCACTACGTAAATTCTAAGTCCTGACTACTCTATCTTATTGTTAAATTGTATCTGGAGTATCTTATATTTTCCTACCACCCTGTCGTTCAGAAAGAAGTTCAGGTTGACCATATGTGGTAGTAATCATAAAGGTCACTCATTATTGACGTCATCTTTTAGAGATCTGTGAACCTTCTGGCCCCTTGCGTCATCCAATTTTTGTAAATCCCCGTTTCCAAAACACTGCGCATAATCCAGAATCCGAAGCTTATCGCAATAGTGTGAATTTTTTAAACTCTTCCCTTCCTTGAATATCTTGTCAACTTTCTCCCTTTTGTTTCACATTGAATTTGTTTATCTGATTTATAACACACAGTGATACAGTATTATTTACTTGGTGACGTATCGAGCATAAATTGTTGCTTTTAATCATATCATAGCTAATAGTTAATAATTATCCTCCGCAGTTTATTAAGAAATTCATGCGAATACATAAGCAGCGAAAAGATAACAGTAACACGAGTACGAATAATAACGACAACACAAGTAGAAAGGAGTTCACAGTCTCCATTGTGTGACGTTATAAGGAAGGAACATCAAAAACTTTACGTAGGATTGTCAAGAAGGTTGGAATTAGAGTAGTATTTAAACTTACAAACTCACTCAGAGATAAGTTTTGCCGGCTTAACTATCGATAGAACCAATTAAGCAAAATAATCTAATCTATCAAATTCCATGCAATGACTTTGAGGTTAAGTTCAGCTAGCCGATCGAAGTCAGTTATATTAGCGGAACATAGTTTTATACCTTTTGTTTTTTTCCAGTCCTTTAGTTCATGTTTCTTAAAATCACTTTTTATTTGTTGCAAATTGAGACGATTTTGTTTTGGTTAAGGTTCTATTTTGCTCTGTTTATGTTTCCTAGTTGAAAAACTAATGTATAGTATAGCTGAAAGGGGGAAAATGAATTGTATGTAGCTCAGGATATTCGGTCAAAAATCTTGAATGTCACATATTAGCACCACTCATTAACTCATATTTACGTTATAGAATACTTTTCCTATATGAGGTAGTGACTGTATTGGTTTAAGCAGTTGATTTTGAAATAGTGGGTCACGGATTCGAACACGACCCAATCTATTGAGGTTTGGGCAATCAGATCATTAGCCCTTACACAATAGGTGTGGTTCATTGTTTACAGCATGAATGTGAGCATGGTTTCTGAGTTATTGTGTTTCGTTTTTCGATGTTTTCCGTTTAGGAATATTTCATTCTCAAACTGTCTTGTTGAGTTGCTAGTTAAACTATGTAGTGTGTGTAGACGAATAATGATTGAAGTTTATGAAAATCTGGAATCACTAATACTGTTTAACCAGGAACTTCAGCTTCATCAATGTGATATTTTAATGACTAAACTGCAAGATTTGTTTTACTATGAACAGTCCAATACTTTACCTGGTTGTTAAGTTGTCTATACGTTTCATAATTTGCATTCCAATCAAAATCAAACAGAATGGGACTTGTAAAACCAATTGAAGAGTACATTTATTCTGTCCTGCAACTTTTGAAACATTGAATAAAGCTTCGCTGAAGGTTAAAAATAACTGAGTGACTTTAAAGGTCACACTGAGATAACCAATAACGGTTCTTTATTTTACATAATGCAATAAGATGGAGGTTATCTGAGAAATGTGATGTATTCGCGCGATACATTTCAAACAATTTGATCATACATTAACTTGTCAAGGAGGAAAATAGGGTGGCGTAAAAGAAATAAGTTAAGATAATACAAGATTTGGAAAATATTGGGGTAATAACGAGGAGTAATACATTTTCTCACCTCACCTTGGCATTAAAATAAGATAAAGATTACCAAGGTAAGTTTAAGGTAAGGACAAATTGTTTTTGAATACTCTAGGGGGTTTTGAACTTTCGTATAGTTAACGCTTCAGTGAACCTAAGTATACGGTCTTGATGGTTGTTTTAGGGTCAATCCTGTGACCTGTTTTTATAATGTGTTTACCTATCGATGATGACATCTGTCTACCCTCTGTATATATCGGATTATTTGCATGTAAATATGTTTCTAACCATTTAGGGATATACTCCACCACCCTCGACTTCATAGTTCGATTACTCCTCTCAATATATGTGTCACCGGACACACATGTAAATTGGTATACACAGTGGGGTGTGACGTAATCACTTATGTAGTGATGAGGCTCATTTTGAAGCGTAGGTTTCATTTTCTCGATAATATTGAGCTTGGCTGCGTAGTTTGTCGTTTTAATAACGGAATTAAGTCTGTTTGATTCCCCCTTATACATTAGCGTGATTCCTTGACAGGTAAAATATATGATCAGATTGTTGGAAATGTATTGCACGAATACATCACATTTCTCAGATAACCTCAGTCTTCTTATTACACTATGCTAATTCATCAAAGAGATTAATTGTTTCGAATTCTTTATAAAAAAAACTTCTCATCCAAAATACCGAAACCTGATTGGTTATTTTAACGGTTGTCAGAGTGGCCTTTAGAGTAGAGTCACTCCAGATTTAGAATTTTCTTTGAATAGTAAGTGAACGATATTTAAAATTTAAAAGCTTGGTTAACTATCAAATTTTAAACCGGCAACTTTAATTCCCCCGTCATCACTCCTGGATAATCAACATTTTTTGCATATATGTTTCATTTATATGTCAGCCTTTTATATTTAGTTTGTATACTTCCCCTCATTTCAGGTCATATATCAGCTCTATGCATTCATATTACGATTGCTATTCTTTCTAATCAATAGTCTTGTCTGGAAAATAGGTTGGCAAACAGTTGATGTGCAAATGTGAATATATTTCACAAGAGTGAAATGTATTTAACGTAAGCTTCACGTGTAATTGGAAATATAAGAGAAGAATATTTAAGGTCATTGGTAAAGTCAATCCCCATCATATTAATTTTATTAATTGTGTCGATTAAAGTTGATGAAGGCCAATGTGCATACTTTTCCTGGTCCTAAATAAAAATCTCTCTACTGATGATGATAGTGGGTAACAGTGGAATCTAGAATGCACGTTTCGTCTCATTTGGGACTCGTTACCTCTCAATGAGTAGTGTCTGCATCGGGAACTGAATCTAAGGCATTACCTACTAGGCTACTCGGTCATGATAACAACTTGTTCTACCATGGGTATAGTTTGAATATTATAGCTTGTAATTTCCCATGATTGACTAACCGCAATTTTCTTACTAAACCGTTGTCTAGTAGTGTTCACTATAAGTTTTACATTTTAATGGACTAACTACTTTGAGAAGGTTGTATGCGAAACCTATGGAAAATTTTACTTGTTCACTTATTTTCATTTTAATACCTCCCTCTCATTGTTTTTCTGCTTTTGTTCTATTGATTCGTGTGAATGTATTTTGTTGGAAGCGTCTAGACTACTTTTTCTTATTGTATGTCTGGTCTTAGGTGGGAAATAACGACGATTAAGATGTGTAGTAAGGGCAAAGATACTAATACTAGTGCATAAGATTACTGAAGTGCCATAAAGTACGTAGTTTAAATGATGTATCATCTCCTTTTCGAGGATGAAGATGATATTTTAGCCAGGAGATTAACTGAATCCTTCATGAAAATGTGGCAGACAGAGTGTCTTGCATCTGGAATAAGGCTGTTATAAATTCATCTCTAAGAAAGGGTAACAGTTGTGTGAAAATCAGTACTATTTATTATCATGTACACCTGAAATATTGGCTATGCAAAATTAAAAGGAAGTGACTCCTAAGAAGTCAATAATGTTTCCTACACGTCTTAGGTGTATTCGTTTGCGTATTCCTACTCGATCACATACTTAAACATTATTGCAGCTCAATAGCTGAGGTTTTTCTATCCAGGGAGCTTTTGGGATTCGTGGGACCAGATGTTTTTCTGTAATTGTATGTTATGTGGATTTGTGTTTGATGTAATTATTCATTTCTGATAATTTGGTTGGTTGTGGCTAGCAGAAGAATCCAGGGTGCGCGTTTCGTCCTATTTAGGGTTCGTCAGCCGGATGTACCTGCACCCCGGTGGGTGATGTTGTTCCCACTTGGACTCGAACCCCGTACCCCTCGCTTCAAACGCCAAGGCGTTACCCACTATAACACGGAGGAACTATATCCACTTCTTTTACAACGGGTAGTAGTTATTACTATTTATTGGCATACTTGTTATTCCCCCTTGTCTCGTTGGGTCGAATTATTCGACCTCTGTTGGCATTATGGGCTCCTATGCGGACGCCTCAATATTACCTGAATGTTAATTATGATGATTCAGTTGGTTGTGGGTAGCAGAAGAATCCAGGACGCGCCTTTCTGCTAGCCAAAACCAACCGAATTATCATAATTAACATTCAAGTAATATCGAGGCATTTGCATAGGAGTCCATATGCCAACAGAGGTCGAACAATTCAATCCAACAAAACAACGGAGAATAACAAGTGTGTCAATAAATAGTAATAATTCATTGATAAGGTTTTCATATATCAATTTGTATGAAATGACTGACTGATTTCTTTATTGATGTCAATACATTGTAGAGAGTTACAAATTCTAATAGCGTGCGTTCGAGCATAGTCGGGATCGTTTTTGCGAAGTTAACTTTCTTTACTCAGTAATGCATATTATTGGGTAGCTCTTCAAGTGTCAAAACCTCATATCCTACCACTACCGTCTCAAAAGTAAGGATTAGTTTGAAGGAACGGAAAGATAGTCCGTTATATTAGAGAGAATTACGTCTGTGAACTCTACCCAGCCGATAAACCTCAGTGATCAAGTAAATGCTAAATTTACTTGCGACCCGAATAGTTCAATTGCTGCTATGCCTCTCATGTGTTGGTGTCTGTTGTAGAGTGACTCTATAGGCTAACCCGGCAAACAGTGACGTAGCTAATTAGGTTTCTTTGTTTTGTCTGGAAAGGTAGTTTTCAGAAAATAGAGAAACCTAATTGGTTATTGCACTAGTTGCCAGAGAGATGGGTGATCCTATTTGAGCTTGTCAAGTAAGTATACACTTTGCAAGCACAGCGAACTGGATCATAATTATGTCCCTAAATGTTGATGAGTATGTATTTCATCAGTATGTTTTGTCATCCAGATCTTGTGAATCTGTTGTTGTTAGTTGTGTCAGAGACTGAAAAGCATTGGATACAGTTAAAATTTGTTTCCAATGCTATCAGCATTTCGTCTGCATTTGACCTCAAAGTTAGTCTTTAGTTTTACTATGCATAATCACTATTTCGAATACTCTTATGACCAGAAGCCTTCAGTCTCCAGTCATTTTCGTAGCTCACATCTGCAAAGGGAGACAGAGTAGACTACTGCAAAGTAAACTTATCATTTAGTAAACGGTGGAATATTTGGAAGGTGATACCTTTTCTTAACAGAGGTCACAAGTATGTTATGCGAATCTATTGACGTTGTGTTGGGATCATTCAAAAAATTTATGCAGTTTGCCATTTTTAGTTAATTTTTGATCTCACTAGTCATTTCGTGTGACTTATTCGTGATCACGTTGATTGTATAGCTGAGTTACCTGGTTTAAATCTATCCATATATATTAAATGGAACAAGTTATGTAAGAATATAGGAGTAAGATGAGGTATGCGATTTTCAGCATGTAATATTTCAACAAATTCACTTGTTAAATATTTTAAAATGAAATAATTATCGCATCTGAAAGGTGGTATTAATAACAGTATGGTATTGAAAGCAGGAATATTAAATCGCCACCAGGTGTTCAATCACCCTCTGTTCTAGAATGGGGAATAGAAAATTGAGCCTAAGTTTGGTGGTGTTGGTGATGGTTCCTTCAGCCAGTACAGAAATCTGTATTTCGAGATAAGTATTTTATAAATGGTAATATGATACATTTTTATGCATTCCATCCTGTGTGACGTTTCCTCTTCATCTTGTTAACTTGAAAAACAACTGTTGATGAAATATATTCAATGGGAAGTTTTAATAATTCAAGATTTAAGTAGACCACCTTTTAATGATAGATTAGTGTAAATATTAGCTGCTTTAGAGCTGTAAAGATTGTTTCTTATATTTTCTATGCTTTTAGCCTATGTATTAATGAATCTTCTTACCAGAAGTGTACAACTGTATTTACATATTCAAGAAAGCTTTTATATATGTGTCAACCTATTATTCATTATTAAATCTTGCTTATTTTACTTTTGTTGTATTTTCTACATTTAAAGAAATTTTTTCACCTTTTGTTTTTTACTGAGGAAAGTGATTTTGATCAGTGTAAATGATTGTCAATGTATTTAATCCTAATAATTATATAAATATCTTAATTTTATTATTTAAATTTTATAGATTTATTCTTTTAGTTTGTACACTTTTGACCTCTTGGTAACTTAACTATGTGTATCTAGAATCCAGTAGCAAATTAACTACATTTTGAAGTTTCTAGTTTAACACTGTTATCAGAATGAATTTATTAACTGAATTATACAGGCCTTATCCTCTCTCCCCCCCCCCCCTCATATACTGTCCCTAATCTTAGTGGTTTTGTCAATCATTTATAGGGGATAACATTTATTAGTTTTTAATTTATTCTAATTTTGTAGAAGTATGTGATTCACGTCTTTGCTAATCTAATTTGATCGGGTATACTTTTGTCTTGATTTCATTATGGGAGGATAGTGAAGAGGTTATTTCACTTTCATGAAACATATCTTGTTACTTAGTGTTTATTTATCAACTTGGTCATTTTCATGTTCAGAGAGTCCTTTTGCTCCAAATTTATGTGCAGTTGTAAATTTCATCCTGCATAGGATAGCATTTTGCTCATTCGTTTAGCCTGTGAAATGCAGCCCCGGTCGATAACTGCTACCTTGACGTGGTGGTTGGGCTTGCATATCATAATGACGCAACGGGCTATACTGTTGAAACGCTTGTCCCTTTGAGGTCCTACCATTCCAAAAAAGTCTGTCGGATAGTGGTCAGATGAAAAGCAGTTGCAGTCGTAGTGTGAATTACTACAATATGATGTGGGGTCTGAGGGGGGAGGGAGTCGTACTGTTGCTGGCTGGATGAGGTGTAACAGCAACAAGATATTTCCCATGGATGACTCGCAGTGCCACGCTGATACTGCCTTCCCAACTAGGACGGGGGTGGGGTTCGAAAACATCGGCCTCAAAAATAACACATTCTACTTGCCCAACGGCCTTCCGATCCCGGTGATACAGCGCACTCCGGAAAACTAGGCAGGTTTCAGATCTGCATGACGGTGGATCGGTCGTATTTTCACCCTCTGACAGGTTCTGGAACACAGATATACCGGCCAGTAGCCGACACTTACCTTACTTTTTGACCTGAAGGCGGCATTTGACTCAGTCGCATGGTGTCATGGCAGTGTCTAACTATGAAGGGACTACGGAGCAAGTATATGACGCCTATCAAAGCTCTGTACTCTAACTCTTGCAGCCTTGTTATGGGCTTTTGGAGAGTTGTCGTGTGAATTGACGACAACTAGTGATGTTCGACAAGTATGTCCACTGTCACCGTTCTTACTTAAGTTCGTTATGGACGTACTAATGGACATAAACTTAGGTAGGTTTGACTTTGCTGGGATTGATCTACGCCCTGGAAATCATTTGGTTGACTTGGAGTATTCAGACAATATTGTCCTATGGGGTGAAGTCGCTGACAAAATGCAGTGTCTTCTGAATGCATTAAGCAGAAACCTGAGTAGATGTGGCAGCTGAATGATAGCAAGTGAAGTGGTAAAATGTGCTGATCACTTCACGTCTCTTGGGAGTTGCACCAGCTCGAACGGGCTGGTTGCTCACGAAATCTCAGCTAGGATGCAGAAGGCCTGGTTGGTATTTCCCAACTTGCGTCACCTGTGGCGCTGACTGGTGAGATCTTCGACTGTCGATCAAAGGACTAGTATGTTGCGCTGCAGTCCGTTCTATCCTCTTATACGGCTGAGACATGACCGTTGAAAATGGAAGACTTGAAGCGGTTGCAGAGTGTTGATCACAGGTGTCTTCATAACATTGCTCGTGTTCGGTGGAATCACTTTGCGAGCAATGTTGAGATCAGGCAAAAGCAGGCGAGTCGATTGGCGAGGTTGTGAACTTTAGTCAACTGAAATGACTTGGACATATGTCATCCATTCCTAGTCACTGCCTACCTCGATATGCTATACTAGAGGAAATTGGATTAGCTTGGAGGAGAGTTCAGGTTGACTATGCCAAGATGTGGCACCAGTCCATGAAGTCTCTTACTATTGGTCTGAGTCGTGTTAAGATGCAGACTGCCTGGTTGGGGCCCTCTAAACGAAAGAAATGAGTGGTTGAGAATTCTTGGTGACATGGTTAATATATGGTCACAATGGCACAGGTTTATTCACTATTTGAGATCTTCTAAAAGCTTGAATATTCACACCGTCCGTTATCTTTAGATTGTTTATTCTCTCACACAACCTTGTCTACTTTGATATCACTTTTCCTACCCACTTGTTCTTTGTATTCCACTGTAAAGTGTTGCAACTTGAGCCGATGCACCTGTGTGCGATGTTCTACGTTGATATTGTCTTCGAGTCACCTGTGATTATAGTATTATCGCTTGTATTATACCGTGGTTGATTTGACCGAATTGATCGGTCTCTATTGGCATATGGGCAGGTACATCCAGCTGACGAGTCCCAAATAGGACGAAATGCGCATCCTGGATTCCAACACTAGCCATCATTACTTGTGATTATAGTTAAGTAAATAGTGCACTTCACATTCTAGGTTGTTAATTATACACTGGTATTAATACGTCTTAGTTTTCTTTTTTCCCTTTTTTGTTCATACTTTTATAAAGTCCTTCAAAAATGGGTCTGCTTGATCCAGCTACACGTGATGGTCGTGTTATTTTCTTTTTACCTTGGATGAATTTTGCACTGGCGGGTACAACGGATTCTGAATGCGCTGTTACTGATCAACCTTCACCATCTGAAGCTGAAGTGAATTTTATCCTAGAAGAAATTAGCAATTATCTTTCATCAGAAATACAAGGTAGATTGTAGCTTTCCCTTCTTTTTGACATATATACATTTCAACTGTTTATTTGTAAGGATTTATTAATTTGAAAGTAGTTTTCATCATTGACTGAACTACTGGAAATGTGGGAGCTCTAGGCAGCTTTATCGTCCTATTTGAATTGACAGAAGTAAGAGTTAGAAGGCCATTTGATTTCAATCCAGTGTTTGAATGATAACGTTCTCACCGTAAGATCTGATTGTTCGGTGCTTGATCCCTCGTGGGTGCACAGCAGTGAGGAATCTCACACAGCATAGTATTCCTTGTTGAATTGTAACCATTTAATGAGTTGACTTGGAATAATTTTCGGTAGCACAAATGCATTCTCATTTTGCCTTACATGAGATCATCAGTTTCTAATCTAAAGAATTTTTTTCTAATCTTATCTTGTTAGTGTTCTTATGATTCCTCCGATAATTACATCACTCTACCGTCTAGATATCTAAATGCGAAATCTGGAGTTATATTAGTGGGTTTATTAGATTTTGAAGAGGTTAATGCGATTGCAAAGTGGACACATTATGCGTTGACAAAACAAGAAAGAGAGGAATCTGTCTGTACCGTGTAATGTATTCGGTTTAAACTCGGTAATAGCTAGAGCTTCAAAACATTTGAGGATGTCGCCAATATTTTCTGTATCAACGATATGTTTCACAATTGAGGATGTCTGATGCGTGTTACTTGCGTTGATTGATGGATTGTTAATCTGTTTTTTAACCGCTTAGAGATATGTTCTAATTCTCGTACATGCAAGGAATCATGAGTCCTCTTTGTGTTTGTGTGAACACACCTCCGTTTAAATTTATATATACACTGGGATGTGACATCGTCATTCACATATTCTAAGGGTTTAGCAGGAAATATTGACTGTTGAATTTTGATGGAGCTGTGGGGATTTGGAAATATTTCAAGTTATTATTCATCGTAAACTAACATCAGTTGGAGGAACAAAGGAAACCTGGGAGCACTGGACAGATGTTTCGTCCTAGTATGGGACTCTTCAGCAGCGCGCACCCACGACCCTGCCTGGGATCGAACCCGCGGCCTTCTAATTCCGTGGCCAGCACGTTACCATTCGACCACTGGGTCAGAATCCAATGCTCCATATTTCCAACTTCTGTTAGCTCACGATATAGCGCAACCGCAACCTAAAGATCGCGGGTTCGATCCCAGGCGGGGTCGTGGGTGCTCTCTGCTGAAGCAGCTGTCCAGTGCTCCTAGGTTTGCGGTGTTTCTTTAACTGATATCAGTCTGCGATGAATGATAACTTGGAAATACTGACTTTGATTTTTCAATTATTTTAGCTTTAGCTGAGGAACATTCAGTCTCTATGCAAGCATCAAGCCATAGCAATCACCTTAGCATAAAAGCTTTTTTGTTTAACAAAGAGTACACCACACATCTAGTTTCTGTAACCTCTATGTACCGGTCTATATGTGAAGTCTAACTAGCTTGTTTTTTATGCCTATCCAGCTCTTCGATTTCATTACTAGTCTTTATATCCTTACCAGACCTTGGTAATTTTTCTGTACTAATATTATTTTTACCTCTGTACTGCATATGTTTCACTATGCGGTCTGAATATCGAAGTGTGTTCGATGAGGTACTGTAAACTTTATTCCTACATGTAGTTTGTCAGCAGCACAAACCTGAACCCCTATAGAGTAAGTCAGTTGACTACTGCTACACGCCGTTATTACTTCTCATTAAATTGCTAACAAATGTTTCCATTTATTCTCATCCATACCTTTATTATTTTCTTGTTAACAGTTCGTCGTGGTGATGTCCTTTCAGCTTGGGCAGGTATTCGGCCACTTGTTCGAGACCCGAACTCATCTAACACCCAATCAATTGCACGTAATCATATTATAGACGTTTCACCTTCTAAACTGATTACAATTGCTGGAGGTAAATGGACAACCTACAGGAATATGGCGGAAGAGACTGTAGATAGAGCTATTGAGGTATGGAGTTTTTTGCAGAGAAATATTTGTTTTACTGACTGATAATTCATCTATTTCACGAGAGAGACATCGCTTTTTCTATCGACAGTAACAGTAAATAGTCTTTTAACAGTCGACTTCAATTTACTTTTTTGGTTTGTAGTTAATATGACTAAATAATGTTTCTTCAAATAAACCTTAACAATTCCGGTACATTTCTTCATATTTGTTAGAATTTTGGCTCTTCATGTTGTTGTAGCGACTCATTGTCTCTCTAGTGACTTTCACACTATCTTTGTTTCGATTTTTGTTATCTGATTAACAGTTAATGTTTACCCGTTATTTTGGTCACATTTTTTGTATGTAAGTATGGGCTTATTTCTTTGTCTTTCCCTCTTCTCGACTTCTACCTCAATCCGTTGATGTACAATGCGGTCAGGGTAGACCGTTATGCAGTAATTCCAGGTCATATGTCTTCTATATTTCTTACTATAGGAAATACAGATAGGTTCAGTCATTTGCTGGCAGTTTTGTCTTATACTCCTCGGGGGCGATTGACCACTTAAGTGTAAGTTCTCAAGTTCAGAGTCATGATTAAAAATCTAGTTGACCAATATAGTCTAACAATCATTTGAGTAAATGCTGACATTGTGTTTTTCTCTGGATAGAGCATACTTAAACTTTGATTTTCTGTAGAAATGGATAGATGAACAACAACTAGTCTAGTAGATAAAATTAAATACTAGAGTTTCTTGTTTCATTCATGACCTTTTATTGCTTATTCACGTTTTATTCAGTTAAGTTCAAAATTCTCCGTGATAAAAGTTGACCTTAATAGCTTCAATCACCAACGTGGGAATTATTAGTCCATTAACATATGTAAACTGTTAATATCTAGCCGATTGAAGCAAATGAGATAAGAAATTCATGCACAACATCTAACACCGACACGAATAGGAAGGAAGAAATAAGGCAAACATTTAGTTATGAGAGCTTTACTAAGTAAAAAAACCGTACAAATGAACTGTGTTACGCATATCTAATCACCGCCTGTACCACTTTAATTACCTTTTGAAGCTGTCTTTCATTGGTATGAACACGACTTTTAAATGATGTATCACGAGTTCGAACCCTGCCCTCACCTACTGAGGTTTGGAAAGCCAGGTAGTATCACTAGTCCTCACACAATATATGTGACCCATTGCTTGCTGCATCAATGTGCACACGACTACCAGGTGGATTTCATTTCACTTTCTTATTTCTCCCCGATCTTTCATCTTGTTGCCTTGTTACTTGACTCTGCTTATGTATGAAATGTGGCGACTTGGACCGTCACGCAGCAGTGTTGGGTCCCATATTGATATTAACTGATCAATATATATATATGAATTAAAACGTGAACGTGATGATCAAAAATGTGCATGAACTCAGTATCGCGAATCCAAAATCAATAATGATAAAGGTGATTGACGCGTAAATTGGAAGAAAACTGAATAAAAACTGAAGGTTCCAGTTTTACGAAAACATAACTGTAGTTAATGAATGGAGTGAAACGATGGAAATTTGACATTCTTGATGTCTTTTCTTTTATATAAAGTATATCTGTTAATGAGTGTGTTTCTAGCCCAATAGGTAAGTTGTTTCGATGAAAAGTGAATGTCCTTCACAGTAACGATCCATTCAACCAGCATAAGAATCGATCAAAGAACCTACTTTTAGAAATAAGATTAATCTATTGCTTTGAACTTGACATAATGGGAGACGATCTCAAAATAGGACGGATGAGTTTTCAAACGCGTTGTTTCTAGGACATATTTCATAATATTATTTGTTAAGAATGACTTTGAAGTTGTCAGGAAGAGTTACTCTTGAAGTAGCACTGAAGAACTCAAGCTTAGAAAACAAATAACATCCCTGTCTACCATTCGATCTTCTGACATTTGCCACCTATACGAAACTAAATTCACTAGAATCAACTAAAATGTTTTTCCTATCAATATTTAAGTAGGTACCCAAGGTCAAAACTAGTACTTCGTACGCCTTGCATACAGAGTACAAGACAAAAGGGAATTTTGACATTTCGTCGTGGTGTTCTTAAGAATCCAAAGTTTTCATATCACAAAATCTGTTATGCTGTATAATAATAATAATAATAATAATAATAATAATAATAATAACAATAATAATAATAATAATAGTAATCGCTTTATTCTTAACAATATTTCTGATACAGTATGGAATTCGCAACATGTGATATTTTTAAAAATCCACTCTCTGTACAATATTTTTAAACGAAATAAGTATTGCATCTAAGTAATCGTTAATAATAACGGTATTAAAGTCAATAATACAATACAGGGAGCTGGTGCTACAATAGCATATGATCTGGATGTTTGACTTAAAATCGGGCATGATTTTGATGATAGTAGTTTATTCAGCCCACACAAAAATCTGCAATTCGAGATAAGTATCCCGAGATTAGTAATGTGCTATATTTCTGTATATCTCTAAGTTCATTTCTTAGCGTGAAAAATGCCATTTTGAAAACATTTTAAAAATGTGCTAGAGTATGTAGTTACGTGTAAAGGACATATTTAAACGATTAAAATAAATTAAAAGGGAATAATTTGATGAAATATACTCGGTGGGAGATTATTTTGGTACCAATAAAGGCATTAACAGTGTCTAATCATGTACTGTTAATTGACTTGATAAAAGGTTTTTGTTTTCTTTGATCTCAAGGACATAGACTGTCAATCTCGTATGAATATGATGATCAAACAACTAGATTCATATCAATCATCAGTTTTTTACTCGATTTATGAGTTTTGATAGAATGATTGGAAGTCAACAAAGGGAGGGGAAAAAAATGTTATTTTTGCATTGTTTAAGTGAGATCATCTATCACATATGACTTTATTGCTTGTTTATACTTACAGGACACAACTTCTTCGTGTATCATCTAACAGCTTATAAATAAAGTATGCACTTACATACAACTCCCGTCGAAATATGTAAGGAGAAAGTTCATTTAGTAATGAACTTGTGAACTACTGCATACATTGTCAGGAAGTTTTTCTGGACTATTGATTTCAGAAAGAATTCGTTTCGTCTATTATGACTGTTTAACTGATTAGTAGGTGACAGATTATTTTCAAGATGATTTTCATCATGAACTGACTTTACTTAGAAAACTACTACGGACTAGTGAAAAGTTAACAGTTGTTCAGTTTTAGTGGAACTGTAACTTGTTGGCCTAGGTACTTGATTCTCAACCCCATGGGTCACTGGGTTGAATGTTGCTCTACTTACCGTGGTTTAAGCAGCCATGTCTTATCATTAACCATTACACAATAGGTATGACTTATCGTCTGCTGCACTTGTTTCCATGTGGTTGCTGAGTGCATTTCAATTTTTTTCTTCAGGGGGTAGGTGGGTGAGATTGAACTGGACGAGTGAATCTTCACTCAATAGTTAAACGGTAATGTGCTAGCTTCAAGACATGTAAGTTCTTTCATTCATCAGTTATCGAATGATAGTAGTTAGTAACCCTTATGAAGTAGCTCGAAACTGTTGTCACTGATCGATTTCATTTAGTAAGGAGCCTTGAATCTTGACTGACGTGAACTAAAATTCACATGAATCTGAACTATTTTATTTTTCCAATTATTATTGTACATTTTTAATGTTTTGTTTTAACTCAAGAATGCATGAATTATGATCGCCTTTTTTTACTGTCATATTTGCAATAATCAAAGCTAACTAACTATGATATTATTCCAACTTGTATAATTAATAGGTATGTGGTCTAAAGCCAAAAAATCATTGTCGTACGAAAGGTCTTCTCTTAGAAGGTGCTCATGGTTGGTCACCAAATTTATTTATACAAATTGTTCAAGAATACGGAATGGATGTTGATGTAGCTCGTCATTTAACTAGTATTTATGGTGATAAAGCTATCACTATTGCAAATATGTCAAAAATGACTGGTTTTAGATGGCCAATATTGGGTAAAAAACTGCATCCTGAATTCCCTTTTATTGAAGCTGAAGTAAGCTAATCTTTTTAACTTTTGATTTAAATAAAGCGAAGAATTAACTGTGTTATTTCAACTCCCATCCAACCTTCATTATCATTGTATTCCTTCTTTTCACAAGTGTTGTACACTGTCAACTTCCGTGTATGAATCGGTGAGGCATGTTTGTATGTTTAATCCCCCGTAAACACTTTAGTTTCTGCCACACGTGTATGCATCATTTGAATCCTGATATCGTTATACTTTTATTCTCAAAGGAGTGTGTATAGATGTTTCAGTTGAACTGCATTGATGACTAGCTTGCTCTTTATGTACAAAGTCACAACCATATTTCAAGGTTTTATTCATCCATGAACTGACGTCAACTGGAGAACCATGGAAAATTTTGAAGCACTGCACAGCTTTTTCGTTCTAGTATGAGACTGCTTATGGGTGCGTACTGCTGAGGAATCGCGTACTAGAACGAAACACCTGTCCAGTGCTCCGAAGTTTTCAATGATTCTGCAGTTGACGTCAATCTGTGATGAATATGCTACCTTGAAATAAATAAATCACACAAATTAAAATTAAACAACTATATTTCTTTCTACTATTTGTTGATATACTTGCAATTCTCCGTTTTTTTTTTACTAGACCGAGTTGTTCCACCTCTTTCGGCATATAGGCTCCTATGCGGATGCCTCGGTATTGCCTGAATGTTAATTATGATAATTTGGTTGATTTAATAATGATGGGAAGTGGCTAGCAGTGGAATCCAGGATGCGCATTTGGTTGGTTGTTACCAGCAGATAAATCCAGGACGAGGCATCCGCATAGAAGCCCATATGTCAATAGAGGTCGAACAATTGGATTCAGTGAAACAACAAAGAATTACAAGCATATCAAAAAGTAGTAATAAATAATCCCCTTTGTAAAAGAGGTGGCTATCTTGCATCAGTGGCCTAGTGGGTAACCCTTTGGCGTTTGAAGCGGTAGGTACGAGGTCCTAGTCTCAGTGGGAACAACATCACTCACGGGGGTGAAGGTACACCCCACCGATGAGTCCCAAATTGGACAAAAAGCACGTCCTGAATTCCTCTGCTAGCCACAGTCAAGGAAATTGTCACATATATATTTTTTTGTTGGCTTGTTATTGTTAATTTTGGATACCAGCGATTAATTATTTCATGTCGACTAAATGCAGCTAGTATCATGTGTTTTCTGCTGAATGAGTGATCAGTATCATCAACAAGTTTACTGTTAGAAAGATGGGTGTGTTTCTTATTATTGCACACTATATTTGCTATTTCTTAGCTTTCATCAGGGAACAAAATTGAGAAACATTTCATCGGTTTCCGATTTTTGATTATCAATGGTTTCGCTTAATCGTGTTCTATATTCCCACTTTCCGTACCATTTGGTCATACCATAGGGGCTTTTGACAAGACGTCGTTGTTGATAGACAATTTACTGGCTTATTTCCGACTGTCTGTGAATTCACACTGTCAGATCCAGATAAAATTAGCAACCATATACAAGTGTATGCACTAGGCAACGAGAGGGCTGACTATATCATATGACTGCATACACCGTGGCAAATGGCGTGAGGTTCGAACCCGTGACCCATTATCTAAAAGTCAACCGTCTACACCGACAAGCAATAGTTTCACTTGTCGTTATTTCTTTCCTTCTCAGGGTTATCATGTGTGCTAGTAAAATTGAAGTGTGTTGATTGGGATGTTTATTGAAGTAGGCGTTTAATACGACTCGTTGTTATGCAACTTTTTTGACTGATAGTCACTGGAGAGCAACTAATCTCTTGTCTTATCCTGAATGCTGACCAAATTCTGTCAATCTTTTCTCAATTTGACCATCAAGCTAGGAGGCTCACTGTCACGGTGCATTTTGATGAATGTTAGTTGCTTGGAGTCAATCGACAGGAAGCCCTGGATTTAAGTTTCTAACAAGCAAATCTGTACATTGGAGTTTTATGCTATGGTTCTTGTATCAAATATATTCAAGTTATTTTTCATTCAACCTTGCACAAAATTTTTTAGATGGTATTTATGGAGTGAAATCATCCTCGTAAATTAGGAGGGACAGTTGGAATGGTTCCTAGGTGCTAAACGTGATTACCATACACTACGTTAGATATTGACCTTAATCTTATTAATTTCCAACTTGGTTTCAAGTGATTCATGTGCTTTTACTTTAATCAGAAGCTGCATGATTAATTGGAACTTTTTATTTTGATGTATTTAATATGTTGTAGGTAGAATATGCTTGTCGTGAGTATGCTTGTCATGTCGTTGATTTTCTTGCACGTCGTACGCGTCTAGCATTTTTAAATGTACAAGCAGCTCAAGAGGCTCTACCGAAAATTGTTGATTTAATGGGAGAACATTTAAAATGGAGTAATGAAAGGAAGAAACAGGAAATGAAATTAGCAGAGGTAAATTTCGCCTTTTCTTTTCTTTAACTAATAAAGAGGATAATAATGATGCTGTAAATATATTTCGTTTCACTTCAAAACTAATTTTAACATTGAATACCGCATGAAATATACACAGTTTTTTAAACTATATGTAGCACTAGTGTTATTTCTTATATTATACCGTCGTTGATTGGACCGAATTGATCGGTCGCTATTAGCATCATTACTATATAATTAAAAACAAGCGATATCGAGGCATCCGCTTGGTAGCCCATATACCAATAGAGACAGATCCATTCGGTCCACTCAACGACGGTATAGTACAAGCAATAACACTAAAACTATACCCGTCGCGCAAGAAGAGACTATCGTGTTCTAGTGCATAACGTTCTGGTGTTTGAAGCAATCGGTTCCGGGTTCGAATCCCTATGGGAACAACATCACTCACTGGGAGACAGGTACATCTAGCTGACGAGTCCCAAATGGAACGAAATGCGCATCCTGGATCCCACTACTAGCCACTATCCATCATCACTACATATATAGCATTATCTACGTTGCCTTGAGCTACGTTTATTGTCTTAGAGTTGATAGTAACCTACCTCTTGGTATAGCTGACATTGATTTGAATACTTGATGGTTCACTGGGTTCGAGCTCAATAGCTAAACCTATTATCTCTGACTATGTATATATTAGTTACCACTGGTTTTTATAGATAACAATATTATGCAAATTCAGCCAGTCAGAAGACTTTTATTACAGTTTTCTAACAAGTATTCTATCTTCTCCACTAACTAAGTATTATATGTTTCATAGGTGCAAAGACCACTATGAAACAGGAAATAACTTATTGAATTTTCTTCGTCCCTGAAAGACTATAAAATACCTTGTAGAAATCTTTTGTATTTCTTGAAGAATAAATGTACCTGTGCATTATTTTGTTAAGTGATATTTTGTTAGATGAATCATCTGGAGCTTTCAAAATCAGCCGAGTTTCTAGCAGGATTCTTATGTCTTACTGGTACTGAAGAAATAATAAGATAAAATAGTGACCTGCAGGAGAAGTATGACAAAGTTATTCTGTAGAACTGCACGCCAAAATTTTTCTTAGACTTTCAAAGTCTACTGAACAAAGTTGAATGTCGCATCAAACATTCATTTAGTACTTTTATATTCGAATTTAAATATCCATGGTATATATTAGACATCAGAATACCGAATTGTGTAGTCTTGTCCACTGAAGGGATAGTGTTAACATAGTAGGAGTCGAATGTCTTACATTATGAATATGCCTAAATGGGGTATCAGCTGGTCGATAATCATTTTCTTGGCGTTGAATGTAAAATATTTCTCTGTTGCATTCCTGCATACTATTTTGTGCAACATAACTAAAAAAAATACCTAAGTTCACCTTTTAACACTGGCATCGTATTTTTCACCATCCTGGTGAAATTATCCAGTTTAAGCACTATGGTCATATTACTGGGTGATGATTGAATACTTGGGCTGTGACAGGGTTAGAACTAATGACCTATGAGTCACTAATCTGGTTATACCAACCCACTAACTGCTGACATCATTTCCAGTGGGACTGTAGCTCTATTACCAGCTTATACCTTATTCACTGATTAAGTCATGTATTCCACTTCATATACTTTCATCCGAGTAACCATTCAGTGTCATTGACTTGTAATTTAGTGCATTAACCTTTAAGTAGTTTGTAATTCATGCTTTTTTTTACATGATTTTTAACCTGGCTTTCTTTTAGATCATAATACACTTTTCTAGGAATTTTCAGAGTCGGTAGTTACACCTAAATGCTTAGTACCTTTTCTTCTTTGTGGTAATAATTATTTCTACTTTTTTTGTGTTATTGTTTCACCTGAGAATTCAAGTGGTTGGGATGTTAATGTATGTTTTGTTTCACTTTTACCCGTATTACAATGTTTCACATTTGAACTGTTTGAACGTATTTCTTCTCGACAAATAATTTATTTCTAGAAGCTAAGCTAGGTAATAATGTTTAGTAGTTTGTTATGGTCGCACCATTCATTATAACCATCATGTTTTGCTCCTCTCCATACATAGGTGATATGAATGATAGACAAGATCGCTTTTCATATCAGTGCTGTGCCAAAATTTCGTTGTGACAAAACACATACCATCTCAAATAATACGGGTTATACATAGTAATTGGTACATCGATATCTCTTTTTATGAAGGCTTACCTTACCATTGTAGAGATAATCGTTTCGTATACTAAACTTCGTAACAGTATATACCACTACGTCGATTCTAACGTTATATTTAACTATAGAAAGTTGGTATTTTCTAGATTTCACTGCCAAAACTTCTAATGTGCAATTATAAATACGTTACAACTTCAGGGTTAGGATTTTTAACGGGTTTTATTTTGCTGTGAGTTAAACCGTTTGTAATTAACACTAATTTAGATAGTATTTCGTTGGATAGGGTGATGATCAGTATTCAATTACAAAAAATATCTTTCAACATCAAATTGATTGATTTAGATTTAGATTTAAAGCGGGAATGAAGCTTTCATAATGAGGACTTAAGAAATGCAATTAGTATCTGAAGTAGCGTTATGAAATGAAGGATCGTTTTATTGGTTTCTTATTGATTTATAAAATGAATTATCATTATTTTTATTGTGATTATTATTATCGTACCGTCATCTAATTTCTTGTTGCACTTTTGGTGTTCACGAGATGGACACATAAATAGCTCAGTTGGCTTTCACTGACTCATTCTATCTGTTACCATGGTAGGATATCTGTCTCTAACTAAGGACCGAGTATACTGAGCATCAGTTTGCTTTGTGCTACTCCATGTTATTGAAATATAGTCATTAGAGTTGATTGGCATAAGAAAACCACAGGTGTTCGACTACTGTTAACCTAGCAGCATTGTTTGTGTGTTTTGAAGTCACCACATCAGTTATGTAGAACTTAGACATCTACTTCCACGTGAAATCATGAATTCCTCAACCTTCACCGATCGAGGTGGATGCTTAATGTGTTACATATGCCTAGTCACCATCTACCCCGATGGTTTTTTTTAGTTGAAGTAGAATCAGTCTGGAAAAAGGCTAACGATGACCAGACTGGAGTGTGACGACATTTCGTGAAAACTCTGTTGATCTGAGCCGTGTAGAAAGATGTAGAATTCCTAATTGTTGTCCAAGTGACAACCGAAATTGATGGTTGGAGGCTCTAGAGGATTATGATTTATCTCGACGTACAATGTTAACTGAAGTTGAGTTGGAAGGAAAGCCTAGGATAGTCAGACCAAGAAGTGGCATCAATTCATGAATCCTCTGACTGTTGGTTCGAGTCGTATATAGATAGGTGTAAACTGCTTGGTTGCATTCACGGAGATAATAGGAGACCTTTTGATAAAATTGCTGAGAATCGATCACAACAGTTCAGATGTATTCCCTCTTCGACTTCTGAAACTTGGACATCTTCACTAACTTTGATTTTCAAATTCTTCTTCCTCTCATGCACGTTTTTCTACTGACTTGTTTTTTGCATACTGCTGTACCATATGGTAACTTGAACCAATGCATCCCTGCGCGATGTTCTACGTAGGTTTTGTCTTTCATGGGTTGGAATCGGTCGCACTTGAGTAAACACATCTATATATTATCTATAATCCAATCAATATTTCACATTTCGTTATTGTCTTTACCTCCTCTGTTTCAGTTACAGCCAGCTACGAATTTGATTTTTTTTTTTACTTTTCTGCCTTCTGTTTTGTTACTTTATGTCTTGTTTGATTAATATGCGATGTGGAAACTTGGACTACTATTCAGTATAACAAGGTCCCATGTTGGTGTTGACTGACTGACTTCACTATTGTTATTATTTGTCCCTTGGGTTCCTAGTGGAATATAGGGCTTCAGTAACACGTCTCCATTTCCCTCTATTCCCTGCGGTCTTTTCAACCTGGCTCCGCAACTGCCCACAAGCTTTCATTTCTTCCTCACATCATCTCTTCCATGCCACCCTCGGATGCCCAACTCATAGCGTCCCATTTACACTCCACTGGAGGGCCTGGCATGTGATGTCCCTTAATGGTCTCCTCAGTGTATGCCTAATCCATCTCCACTTTCTTCTGCATATTTGTTGGACGATAGGTTCTTGGTTGGTTTTTTGTTAGCCAGAGTGAGTTCCTTGTTGCTTATTCTTATTGTTCTGGCCATCTGACCTTCAGTATCCAGTAAGCGTAGGCGGCAGCTGTTGATGAATGTCTGTAGTTTGTTGGAAATGCTTTTCGTAGCGCACCAAATCTCTGAACCATCATATAGGAGCACTGACTTGACTGAGTTAGTGTTGGAAATCCGGATCTTGTTCATGCTTCATTCTGAGTGCAGTGTAGTAGATCTCCACACTGATTTCAGGTTGATGAAGGCCTGTCTTGCTGTCTTTCCGATCCTGGTTGCTTTGACGTTATCATCTGTGACGCCGTCTGTAGTTGAGATGCTGCTGCCTAGGTGTAGGTGAGAGATACTACTTCCTTTAGGTTTCTCCCGTTGATGGTGATTGGTGCTTGTTGTCGTTGGTGGTGGTGGTTGGTGGTTGGGTATCTTCATCACCTGTTTTCTCTACGTTCACCTAAAGTCCCATCTTCCTTCGTTGCCTCGCCTCTTCTGCCAACTAGTTGGTTTTCGCCTGTAGATGTTTGAGCTTGTGCTACAAGACATTAGAGATGAATCATCATCGGCGAAATCCAAATCTTCTAGGGTCTCTTCATCGGTCCAGCCAGAGTATGCCCATCTTCCCGCGCGTCACGGTTCGCTGCATGATCCGGTCGACCACAATCAGGAAGATCATCGGTGGTAGTAGGCGGTAGCCTTGTGCTACTCCTGTCTTCACTTGAAAGGCATCACTGAGCTTTTCATTGAGCATCATGTAGCATATAGCTGCTGTTGAATGAGGTTGATGAGGGTTTGTGGCACTAAAAGTGTAGTGTTGAAGCAAGCAGCTGGCAAATTCCTTCTTTGTCGACGCTATCGAAGGCTTTTTGAAAGTGGATGAAGTTGAAGTACAGGTATAGTTGACTTGCATTCTATGGTGTGTTCGATGACGATGCGTAGTGTAATGTAGCGTTGGAATATGATCCGCACATGATTTGCACTTCCTGAATTCAGCCACTCCATTCTCGTTCATTTCACCGAGCGCTTCTCTACCCATGATAAGTTCTCTTCCTGTGTTGTCTGCTCCCACTTTGGTATTCATGTCACTCATTAGAAATTTGAAATCTGCATCTGGGGTGAGGTCTTGTCCAGTATTACTCGCAGTTTGACTGTAAAGTTCCTCCTCTTGATCGGCATTATTTGTAGGTGCCTAGCATTGTACGGTTGTGACTTTCCTTCCTTTTGAGCTGAACCTTGCTGTCATGATCATGATGCTGGAGGAGTTTGGTTCCCATTACCTGAGAGCCTTTGATGCTCTTGGGGAAACCATGATAACCACTCCAAAACTCAGTATGCTGTGGTCTGAATGGCAATATCGGAGTAGATCATTGACTCTCGAGTTGACAGTTTGGAGAGCCCACTTCCATTTCATTTGCTCTCGCAGATTCCTAGCACTTCTATGCTATACCTTCTGACCTCTTTTGCAATCTGGGCAGCCTTGCTAGTTTCAAACATAGTGCGGACATTCCATGTTCCCACTTTTACTTTCGCTTTCATTGAGAGATGAGAGAACACTTGAGCCGATTGGCTTCCTGAAGGCTCCCACCAACCGGCGTCATTTCGTCTCCCCGTTCCCAGCGAGGAATAAGTTTATTTTTTATATTTTATCTGTGCTTTGAAGTTTCTTTTCGATTGGATTGGTTTTCCGGTTTAGGGTTGGTAGTCCTATGCCCAACCTTCCCTCTTTACCCCGGGCTTAGGACCGGCTAGTAACTAGTGAACTAGTTAGCTACTACTGGCTGACTTTGCTAGATATTTATACTTTTACATATAAACTAACGTTATAAACATTACAATGAAGAGCCTGGAATTTTTTCATCTCACTACTCATTCGTGTATATAGTGGGACGTAGATTTTAGCTACACAATATGCTGGTTCATTTTCAGATAAGTAAATATCATACCACTGAACTATAAGATTGCTGTTCAAGTGTTAGTTGGTAATTTCAACAGGGTTCACTTCGCTAGTACATTTTCATTTAATCGTTTATTTCAGTTGTCTCACTCTAAAGTATAACACGAATAAAGCCCGAATAAATACATAAAAACACTGAGGTTTATTTTCTAATGTTTTGAATGTATTTAGTTAGAATTTGTGTATTGTTGGGTTTGTTTGTTATATTTCTTTTAACTAAATGGTGTGTAAGTGATGAGGTCAAGGCTAAAATAATCTTAATTAAATATTTACTTTGTTTTGTTTAAAATTAATGAAAACTGTCAAGGAGTAGTATGAATAACTGTAATCAGTAGTATATCATTCCATTAACTGCTGGTTTTGTGTAAAATGCCATAAATTCTTGATATGTACTACTTCGTTTAAGTTGTAGTTAGTAAATGAAATAGTAGAAGTGTTATATTGAGCAATTGGACATAGTTACAAGCGTCATTCCATCTCGATGAGTTCCCTGTTGTTTTCCTTTGTCTTTATTATGTGCTCAGTAGCATGCGAATAGTATTACGTCCATAACCGGATCACACATGAAAGACACTTTCTTTGCATATATCCCTGAAAAGTATCAGAGAGCCTGTGACGCCAGTGGTATGTTATACTCTTTATCTAGACATTAGTTACTAAAATAGCAATCAACTTTATTCTCATATGCAGCGTTGGTGATAGGATACTCGTACTTGGTTATTAGGTTTTCTGCTTTATCTCTACCATATATCACAGCATATAAGTGGACGATGATGAAAGCTTAGAGATCATTTAGTCAGATTGTAAACATTTATCCACTAAACTTGTAGGAAAGTTTGTAAATGATGCGTAACAACTGAATTTCCAAGATATGCGATCTTGGCTACCGTAGATTTTCAAAGCCGAATTTACTGTTATGGTGAGTTGTTCTTGGACCCATAAGGGTGACCTCCTGATACTAATGCTTCGACAAATTTAAGAAATATCTCCCCAATGATTTTTTTTACAGACAGGTAGAAAAAATAAATTCAGGACCTCGCACAGAAGTCCATTCGTTCAAGCTGCCACACTTCACATCAGCATACAAAGAACAAGTAGGTAGAGAAAGAGTGATACCAAAGCAGACAGAGGTGTATGAGAGAAGGAGGAATTTAGTCCCACCGACCTTAACGTCACACCAGTTAATTCAGAGCGAAGTTAAATATTTGGCAAAATATAAGGCCTAAAACCGTAGGCGGTCTGGTTAGAATCTTAACAAATAAGAACCGGTTATGATGAAGTTAATTTCGTCTACTATTGATTGGTTATTTTCTTATTCATTTCATATAAGGTTACACTGACACTAAGTCGCAGTGTAAACTTTCGCAGAATACAATAACTATTCTTTTTGATATGTACTTATTTTGTGTGATTGTCGTCATCCACCTGCTTGTCATGTCTGTAAATGTGAAGCAAATCACAGCTTCTCAAAGACTGCAAATGCTATCATATGACCCCTCAGTTGAGAACTGTGAAAATGAACTATTCAACCGGTATGTAAGCTACTCTAGAGGTGGTTCATTTTGCTGTATTTTTATTATGCTTTTTTATTTATCACATAATTAGGTAGGTTTTCCTGAGTGTATTTGACAAATGTACGGACTAATTGCTGAATATTGATAGAGATAGCTCGATACACCTCTGCTGTCATTTATTTTCTAACCTTTTACACCACATAATGACCACCACTTTTTTGTTCATTTTAACAGGTTAAGTTCATTGTAATTGGTTATTTTTTAAAATCATGATTTTAAAAAGTTCAATCATCCGTTTTTGTTGATTACACTTTAGGACTTCTTAAAGTCAGAAATGGGTCTTAATCTACGTGTAATGGAAAGTGTTCGCACTAATTTGACAATTGATGAAATTGATGATCTTCTGCATAGTTTCCGTAAACTTGATCATGATACTAAAGGCTATGTTTCATTGAGTGATTTACGTAAATTTTGTATAGTAAGTAAATGTTTTCTTAAAATATAATTAAAAGTAATGTTTTCATAATATTGATGCTGATCATTGATATTCCAAGTAGATGTTAATTTAAAAAAAATTGAAAAACAGAAAATAAGGGTTGAAAGTTGTTTTAAGCTGTTTTTGTAGTCTTGAATAATACAAATCAAAGAGGTGTAGAAAAATTCGTAGATTGACAAATTCGCGTTGTTTGATCCTAATGAAAGTGTTGAACATTCAAGAAAAATGTGAATTCATTATCAGCTCAATGGAGTTATCTCTTAGTTTTGAAGACCAGTTTTTAGTTGGATGCAGCCAATCTGTAGTAAGCCGTGCTCGACCTAACTTTCGTACCTTTTAGCACTCGTTAGCAAGGCGTATCTGCATCATCGACAAAACTGATATCCTATCTGAGATTCGAATCCACGTCACCCAGTGGTACAGCTGGAGAAGATTGACCTCCTGTAGAAATTGATTATGTACATTGATTGATGACTGGAGGGTAATCATCTTTGTGTTGTTTAGTTCTGAGTCGTGATTGGATTCTATCGACCAAGTTAGTGGGAATCACCATCCAGGAACCAATCAGTTCACCCAACCCACTCCTACCGGAGGTCAGTCGATGCCCGAATATCTTAGTAGTGACGTTGCTGACTACAATACTGGGTGATGCGGGTTCAAATCTCAGGCGAGACACCAGTTCCACTGAGGTTTCAGGCACGTCTTGCTGATGAGCGCCAACAAGCAGGACTTCCTGCTGACTGCCTCCATTCAGCTAACACCTATCTATGTGTAATCTATACTAAGCGACCTAGCCTGCTGGACACATCGCAAAATGATCGATAGGATTCAACCATCACTTTGGACTAGACTACGTGAAGTTGGTTACCCTCCAGTAAACAGTCAATGAAGACTAATTTAATAAGCTAAAAAAGAGCTGTGCAGTATAATATAGTGCTTCCTGTTCTCACAAGCAAAAAAGATCTGAAACTAAACAGGGAAAAATCTCAAAGAAAAGAGACAGCCAGTCTAGATTAAATGTGGAGATGGAGAATCACCATCTAGGTTCATTCCAGTATGTCGTATTTTTCTTATGATGATTAAAACTCACCATCCATTGCTTCGTTGATCACCAGAAAGAGTCTTTCCACTGAAGTACTTCTTCCTCCATGTCTTAATGGATATTTTCCACACAAGTTATATTTAAGGTGGTTGAGTCTTGGTAGTAACCTCGTGTTCATTAGTGCTAGTTTTGATCATGGTTTTCTATTTTCCTTTGTTGAATTTTGCTATAGATGACATTTTCATCATTTTCATTGCAACACTGACCAAAAGCTAATTCATTGTTTGTATTTGTAACGTTATTTGCCGGTTGAATGAAAGCTTTTGAACAAAATCTAAACCGCCATCTCTTGTCTAACTCGTTCTTACTGGAAATTATGTGAATGCCTTGCTTTCGAAATACAACCTCAGTTAGAAATAAATTGACCATAGGGTTGTTGGGGTGAGGGGGATCTTGAAGGTGATAAATCACTGCAGTCCTGAGATAAAATTATTTGGTTCGAATATATATATATATATATATATATATATATATATGCCATTAGATGGGTGAAGTGACCAACAGAATAATACAAAATACGAGAGTGCTACTAACGCAACGAGACACTTGGAGTTGGTACGAATAGCGACTGTTCTCCCTCAGACCTGATACTTCACTAAGCCGCAAAAATTAGGCGACAACAATTGCTCTGTGGCTGTAACGAATACAAGTTATTTGGAAAAAAAATCATTTATGCATAATTCTCCTTAGCGTATGAAACCAATAGGTCAGAAGTTGCATGCTTATTCTGATCGGTCAGCTGTAGAACAAAATTGTTCAATAAGGTTTTTCTTGACTACATAGTAACATGAAACAAGATTAACACTTAAAACTTCCTCCTTAGGCGCTATTGACTTAGTGTTGATTTCGTTTTAATCGCTTCTTATCAGTGGGTTTTTGTCATTGGCAGTAAAATGACTCCATAGTTACTAGAACCATCAGCACATCTATCGAATACCTACTGACTAATAATCTGTGGCAAATTAACGATGTTAATTAAAGAATCGACTGTGTGATGGTTGTAACCAACTTGTGTTTTCATCGTTTTGTCATACTCTATTTATGCCTTCCTCTTAAATCCAGGTGTTGGTGATATTTTTTTTAAAACAAATGTTCTCTTTATATAGGAATCGGGTGAAAATATCAGTGAAGAAATTCTTCAGTCTACACTGAACACAATGGATGTCAATAAAAATGGACAAGTTGACATGGCAGAATTTTTACATGTATGTCCACTTTTTGCTTTTATTGACTTATTAGCCTGTTTTTCCATACTGTTGTTCAAAGGAATCTAGTTTTACTTATGTTTTTCATCGGTAGTTATTGATCGGTTTTTTAGGTTTAAGGATTTCATTGATAATTGTTTGTGATTTTGTTGTTTATGCTGATGAAATCGTTCCGCGTTTCTAGTGCAGAGAATCCAACAGTATTGCTGGGCTAAAGTTTCCACTTTCATAATGTAAAAATAAGTTTTTGCATTCGAAAGTTATCTAGACGAGCACGTTTAGTTACTATTCTGTCAGCTTTGTTTTATGGATTTGTGATATCCGATCAAGTATTTTCTTATGTTTTTGATGGGTCACAAAATGTGCTGTTTGATGCTGGAAGTCAATCAACAGGAAGTCCTGAACCTGGGCTTTACGCTTTTCGGTACTCATTATGAAGGCATATCTGCATCCACCAACTAGCAGTGAAGCGTCATGACATACCTTCGCTCATATCAATGCATCCGGACAACTGGGAACTTGAATTTGACTGGGAGAATGTGGAAATCCTAGATCGAGGAAATACAAAGAATGTCGGAGAATTTTTAGAACCTTGGTATTCAGGTCAGTCAGTGATCAACAGACATATTGACATTGACTCAATCTATCAACCAACAAGAAACAACAAGTAGGTCCAAGTTTACGTCAGCGGGAAAATTAATTGAAATGAGTATGGAGACAGTGACAAAACTTTGGCAGAAACAATCAATCACACAAAGGGTCATCAGGACAAGCTACTAAACCAGTTGTGGAGAAAACCGCATAGCTCACTCTTTTTTGAAGTTTGTGCTGATAGTTATGGTGTCTAGAATGACAATGTGTAGTTCGCAGTTAAACCACCTAGCTCAGAAAAAACAAAACCATCAAAAGTGTCTGCAACCAAGAACAAACTAATATTCCGTCTATGATTCGAACCTGTTTCGCTCAGTATCGTAGAAAGAAACTTTGCATATGAAAAATTAAGGTTACAACTGACTACCCATGGAACTAGGTTGTGTACATGAACCGGTCACTAAATGGTGTCGATCAGGTTTACAACTGCTTAACAGTTTTATCATATATGAGCCATGCTTCGTGATATGTACGATGAGATAGCTACATTAACTTTTCCCACTAACCATATGTCAAAACGGATAAAATTGTTGTCTCCCAAACTTGTTCTTTGTGAGAAAGTTGCTGTATTCAAGTCACAAAGTGTGAATTACGTTTTATGGTTCATTGAAAGATAAGCGTCTAGATGGTGTCAACTAGTCCATAAAATGATCAGGTGTTCTTAGGTTTCAGTGTGACTTTGGACTTTGGTAAAGTATTTTGCTTAAACCAGCTACACTGTCATCATCACAACAGGACTTTAATCCTTCGGTCGCTTTGAAACAACTGTCTCCAACTCCATTACCTCAGTCAAATATTTTGTTTAGGTTACTATTAACTGTCATTTGTAAAGGCTTTGAAGGCGATACTCATGAACCTTTTATGACTTCCTCAACGTCAGGAAGTCAGTGTCCATTTTAGGTTACTTTTGGATTATTGATTGCTAAAGGAGGGTAGAATACCAATTTAGCTACTTCTAAAAGCTTGTTCACGGTAGAATCCATTCCTTAAATCGTCTTAGGTGAAATCAGTAGATAAACTTGGAGAGGACTTCAATGTTAAACATTTCTATCCCCGGTTGGTCTGATCGGTGTGATGATGACAAGAAAGTATGAACAATGTCAGATGTAAACATAACTCTCACGCTATAATCGAAGACTTAGCCAGTCATAAGAAGGGAAGAAGGTAAAAAAAAGTAAAGAAATATAATATAACGATTAGAATGAAGATATTGTGTGGACACATCTTACAACGGAGATCGAATCAAAGCGACAACATCTGGAGTCTCCAACTATCGGTTTCATCTGTCATACGGAACGCAAACGAGAAGTCTACACCTCTTCACACGGCTCAGATCAACAATCAAAGTCTTCATAAACTGTTGTCACATTCTAATCTGGTTATCGTTGAGCTCTTTTAAACTTCGTTGTACTTCAGCTAAAATGAAACATCAGAGTGGATGTTAACTGGGCATATGTAACACATTTAGCAACCACTTTGGTAGATGAAGGTTGGTGGATTTCATCAGTCAACTTACTTGCTTTGCTTGGAAGTAGGCGCCTAAACTCTCTATTACTAACATGACACGCAAGCTATGCTACAGAGACAATAGTAGTCAGTTATCTGGAGCTTTCTTTTGTCGTCCAACTTTAATGCTCATGTTTATCTAGATAGCCATTTAACTCGATAGAACGAACTATTAGATGGTACACTCGATCCTTTGTAGAATATTAGATATCTCCCGAGTACCATAGATGATATGATTTGGGAAAAATCAATCGAGAGATTTTTATCTGTTCATTAATTTCATCAGGGTGGATCTGACTTCCCAACTAAGTGAAGTGACCAGTATGCTCAACAATTTTACTTCCTATTTTTGGATGAGATAGTGATACAGAGCAGTCCTTGAGGATCAGTTTGCCTTAATTTGAAGAGAAACACATCCTAAAAATTCTCTGGTTGTTTAGAAGACTATATCTTCTCAGCGTTGTTTACTAACAAGATTGTGCCATTTATATACTCCAGGTCTGTTGAGGAATCCCCGGTGACAAAGTCAAACGAAGAGAAATACATCCATGACCCCACAAGTTGTTCATTTATTCCTGTCTTCCTCTTTATCTCAGTCCTGGAAATGTTCGATTGGCTTTCATCTTGATTTCTATTCGCATGGAAATACTTACGCATAGTAATCTATCATTTTTTTCACGTAACAGATAGGTATTCGAGGTGTAATTGAAACATGGTTAGGGATTTGGTTGTTTTCTTTCAGCTGAAAGAGCAGTTGGTTAGCGATGTGGAGAACAGTGGCTCAAACTTTGTCAAGTTTTTCTTCTCTGATAATCATCATGGCAAACAGACTAGTCTACCAATCGAGACTACTGTAGCTTAACTGTAATCACTAAATAGTTTGTCTCGCCCCCACCCCACCCTCAAGGAACACTAATGCACGTTATTTTCAATTATGTAGATTATTTATTACTGTCGCTTCTGAGTTTTAATTATTAGTGACTGCATTTTTATCAGTTACTTGGTAGGGAGATCCTCTTCAAGTATTATTGTAGAATTATTCATATATAATGGATTTAAAAAGATAATACTGTTTTATTATTTCATATTTCTGTGTTTTCTCAATCAAAAACGTGACTAGCGTCAAATGATATAGCATACCTAAGCTATATAACTCAAACACCTTTTTCTATTTGAGTTCACTTCGAAGTACGCTTAACAGCATAGATTTCATTTCAAATATGGTGCGCAATTCAATTAAGTCATATGCATTATTATCATTCAAATGAGCGCGCACATGCACACACACACACACACAATGATTAACTTTCATTACTCTGATTACTGCTTTTCTTATTTTAGCTACTTACGACAGATAACACCTTAAAGATTACCGTTGATTGATTGTAATCTAACTAAATTAGGAAGAAATCCAGATTTTATTTGATTATTAGTTGTTTTTCATTGCAAGTTGTCATGTTTTTGAAATATGCAGATAATATTAACCTGTGTATACTTTTATTTACTCGATCTTCAAGTGAGTAAGTTTGACAGACACAACTAATTCAGTTTACATTACACTGTTCACATTGTGTTGGATGGAAGGATGTTTTCGAAATTCTTACACTCTGAATCTTTTGCTACGGGTGTGTGTGTGTGTGTACGTCATATTGTTTCTATTAGGGTTTCACGCTTTTGGTAGTTTTCAATAAGGCCTATTTACGAAACAACATGTATCACTCAGGTCTATCATCAATCGGATACATTTTTTATTGTGTTTTGAAACCCTTTAGAAGGCATTTGTTCTATCGACGATGCAAAAATTACGTTTGTATCAATGTTAACAAGTTGAAAAGCCTTGTTAGGGGAAAGGTTTTCGTCGAATACCTCCAACCAACTAATACACATTAGCACTTGGTTATTGAAAAGCATTGCCTTTATCATTGATGTTCGTTTTTCCACTGTTAATCCACATTCTTCAGTCAGTGGATGTGGCTTATTATATGAAAAGTTTTACAATCTATCTTTTATTATTTATATAATCTTTTTGTATACTGTTCTCATTATCTAAATATTGGTTTTCCTATACCAATGTTACCTGTTTATACACAATGAAAACATCCTAGGTGCTCCGTAGTGAACTCATTCACCAACCCAGTTCATCTATTCATAAACAATGTTTGTGATCATCAGCGTAAGAAATGACGAAGTCCTACAAATTCCGCCTGCATACTTATTGTTCTGATTCAAATTTGTTGTATGTATGTATACATGTATGTGTTTGTGTGCTTTAACAAAAGTTGGTGCTTAACTCTTCGCTTCTGCCACCGCTGCTATCCGTGCTGTTGCTGTTTAAAAAATATTTTCATTCACTACTACTACGCACATGTATTCTGTTGTGTCCGCATCAACTTTTTTTTTGGTTGCGAGTTGTGTGTTTGTATGTTTGACAATCCATTTTTCTTTCAGGTTGATTAACTTCATCTTTCGAAGCAGAATGTTGTCATCACTTGACGCATCACTTAACAACACAAAAGGTCTACTAACCATCTGAATATGCCCTCCGAAGTATGGTTGTGTGTGTGTGTGTGTGTTTCAGGTATATTTTGTTCAATCTGTTATTAGAAATGGGTTAATGTTTGTACCATGAGAGGAAGAAAATTATCATGAAAATATTTGTTCTTTGAGTTAACGGAAACGTTCCAGGGAAATGGCACATTCATTACTCCCAATAAAACTATGTAGCTAGTATCTACAAAATTTGAGTTAATCTTCACAGATCACAAATGTGATGCTACAACTCTTTATTTTCAATCAAGAAGGATTTTATAATGCACCCAGTACCATTTGCTTTAAACGCCAAAGCGTTATATCGTCTCCCAGTGGCCTAGTGGATTAACACTTTGGCGTTTGATGCGGTGGGTACTGGTTTTCAGTCTCAGTGGGAACAATATCACTTCTTCGGGGTGCAGGTACACCCAGCTGATGAACCCCAAACAGGACGAGACATACAACCTAGATTCCACTGCTAGTCACCAAGATGAATACTTAAGATAATATTTATTGGGATCGAAGTATGATCAAGGAGTACCGATTTTACCAACACTGATTATCTGCCACCTTTTTATGAGTAACTATAAAACTTTAAATCACTACCGCTTTATGGAAAACTGTTGTCTTAGCATTTTCTCCCTAATTATTCCGCCGTCTATTCCTCAGTTTGTTTAAACACTTCTCTTTTAGATCATAAGAAAACACAAAAAAGATTGTTGTAGTGAAGAAAATGTTTTCTTTCCGACAAAGTTATTTACTAAGCTGTGTATTTGTGAATATATGTTACAGTTAGTAGAACACTCTGGAATTATTTCCGGTCAGTGGTCAAAATAGGCAGAATAATGAAAGGAAGTTAATTAATACGAATGAGGGTTTAGAGTAGAAAGATAGACATGAGATAATGAAAACGAATTTATGACAGTCAAAGCCTTATGATAGCCATAGCAAAAACAAAACTTGAGGGTACCTTTTTTGAACACAGTGCTGGTTTGAACTTCTGAATGGATAATGATTCAGCTATACTCAAATGCCTTGATCTTAATTTCTTCGTGTAGTTCAGTCAAACCCTGTAGAGGATTTTGAATCAGTTCTCAAAGGGAGCTGAATTCACAAGATGTTCTGTGACGCATTTCCATTCTTCCTTTGCTGGCCTACTTTTTGAAAGACTCAAACACATTGATATAAATGTGACGTCATATTCACTGATTTGTCTTTCCATCTTTTTTGTTGAAGCTAAAACTTTCCTATATTAAATTACCTGAAGGACTGTTATCAAAGTAGACTTGATATCAACTTTGTTTTAGTGTTTGTTGATTTCAGTAGTATAAACATATTCTGAATGATTATTTAAGCTTTTATGAACAAATCTTTGTTCTTTAATCACTTAGACTTGTTGATTCTCTAAAGACAAATGAGTGGCATTGATACAACTTTATAATTTGAAGTAGCTTCCTATCTTATTCGATAGCTTTCCTCCCTTGGATTAAATGATCTTATGTATGTATATGCTTGTCTGCACTTGATTGTTGCATAGTTTTCTGTGCATATATACAAGGCTTATTTGACCACGTATATATGTTTGTCATTTGTTTGCCACATTATCTGCGCTACACTGATGTTGGTATGTTTGTTGACTTTCCCATTATTAATAAATCGTGCATGACTGTTGTGACATGATTTGAAGTTCTCTTAGCTCCCAGCGGTGATTGAATTTCATTGTCAATTTGAATGCAGAATTCATTATTACTCTCTTAGAGTAAAACAAGCTAAACGCATAACTAGTACTCATTGATGACTTGCTTTGAGATATGATTCCCGAAGTTCTAATGAGAAGTCGTAACCGGTGCTACCAACAAAGCCGAATGTGAAGACAGTTTCTCAACGACAGCATTGGATGAAGTTAGTACTATATCGTGGACATGGTAGGAGTAAGGAAGTGTGGACCGTTGGATTCCCATACAGTGGCTCAATGGTAACGTTCTAGCCCTAGAATCTTAAAGTCCTGGGCTTGATCCCTAACGGTGCATAGTCATGGGTATGCACTCGTCAGGAGTCCAATATTAGAGTGATACAGGTGTTCAGTGCTCCTAGGTTTCCATTGTTTCTCCAATCGATGATGAGTACTGACCTAAAAACATAACCACTAGTCTACCATAATTTTTTAGATTAGTTTCCTCATTTTTTCAATTCGCATAATCTTATTTCGTATCCGAATGGTTGGTGTTCATTCTGTTCACAAAAAAGCGAAACAGTGTTCGTATTTTCTTTGACACAGAACTTGTCTAATGATATGGGAAGTAATAATCGTTGTATAATCATGGGAATAAGAGGCATTGAATCTGACTCACAAATGAGAAAAGTTTTATAATCCTTCACTGAGATATACTTCCACTCTTCATAGCAGCGAAGAGTTTCTCCACCTTTGATCACTAATCTGAACAGTTACCATTCAACAATTTAATCTAAGTATTTCTGCATTCTTCTTAGTATAATGCAGATTTCTGCGATTCTATTTTGTAAAATTCTGAAGTATATTTTTTGATATTTGATAGAAGAGTTTACCAACTTTCATGTTGTTCTTTAATGATGACTAGTGGATATCATTCAACTTGCATCGAAGACTACTTTTTTTTTTCTAAAAATAGAGTTTTCTACTGCTAATCTACAATGATATTTTGACTATTAGATCAACTGA